AGAGTGACCATAATTGGACTGTTCAACTAATTCGAGTGACTATAAATGGAATAAATCAATTCGGGTGGTAAACGTGAAATTTTTAAGCAATTCGAGTGACCAAACTTGCAATTAAGCCAATTCAATTATATACATTTGGGTATTGACATTAAATAGTGTATTCAAATAAGAGTATTTGTTATTTTGCTTTAAATGTTGTAGTTTATTCAAATATAAACAGAAAATAAATTTTTTCAAATATATTTTATATCTACTCAAATTCATTTGATATTTTCACATTTTTACATATTTTGTTAAACAAATATAAACAGACACACAATCATTTGGCAACCTTGGTCTCAAGTGAAGCAATTACCTGATCAACTACCAGCAGACAAACAATATCAAACAAAACAAATCAAATCAAAATTACTATTGGCTAAGCTGACAATCCTGTTTTACTCAGACCTACATAATTTTCTACTTATTCCTTTCCTAAAACGCCAAAATTTAACTAGCCTCTAGTGAAGCAGTAAAAAGTGCAAAACAAGTGGCAGCCGACCAGACAAAAGCTGGGGCACGTCAGATGCAGCGAAAATAAAAATTGACCAATGAGAAAAAAAGGCTCAATGGTACACGTGTCGCCATCTCCGGGCAGGCAATTGTTGTAGCGGTGCGCCTGGGCCTCGGGGCACGGGCACTGATATCACAATCTGTCGCTTTCTATCGAGCCTAGGGTTCAACAGAACGAGCCATGAGTGTTAATTAGGGCTTAAATAAAGGGATAAGATTCCCTTTCCACCACCTGGCCTTCACACTTGGCAAAGCCTCAATATTGGTTTTTTTTTTAATTACAAATACGCGTATTATTAAATTATAAACGAACAAGAGATCTCAAAGTTTGCTTGAATCATATATGCGCCATTAGATAATATAACGATTAGAAAATGAGACTAGAACATATGTAAAGTTAAATGCTTGCAAGAACTTTCCATTATGGTAGTTAACGAGAAACACCTCTATATGAATCACAGGTTATGAGTTTGCATGTATTTACCTAGTTCGTTATTCTCCGCTTATTTGACTAACAAGTCTTCCGTACTTGCTCTAAGATTCTATACGAGTTGTTCGGACATGAAACTCTTCAAAACATGTTAAGATATTTTAGAAGACGTGTTGCGCACATTTCATCGCTTTTGAGACGTTACAGATTTTAGCGCCTTAAGAGCGGTAAATACAAAAATAGGAATTAAATAATAGTATCAGAAAGCTCCCATTAATTCAAACTAAGAAACCTCATCTTTCTCAACCTTTCTACATCTCTGAGTCGCCTAATGACCAGGGGACATAGATACGAGAAAAAGGCATCCTATGAACTTGTTTTGACCTAGAATATTATGTTCTCAAGTCTGGTCATACTTCATTGTTAATTGGTGAAACAAGATATGAGGTCACGTGCACATTTCCAACAGTATAATGACATCTGTTGGTTTTTCATTTCAACACATAAGAATATAAGATGACAAACTCATAACCTTGGTCATACTTCGTCACTAATGAATGCATAGTGGCATTTACAACATTTATTCTATGTATTAGATGATACATTGATACCCACCCTATATGTAGGGCTCAAGCCTCCATGGCTTACTGCATAATATTTCTTCACACATGCAATTGTGCAAGAACGCCTAGTTCCTATCTTTTTTGAAAAAGAGACTAAGAGATGCTAAGATTAAGAAGATAGAGTGGATTTATAGTAGTTACATTCCGTTGCTTTGCTAAATTGACTTGGAAAAGATTCGGTTAGTTGATCGTTAAATATATTCAGTTTATCTGAAATAATTTTTTATTATCCATAAATTGATTTTTATTATTAGATGCTATTTAAAATATTCAAAACCTAGATGTTTATATTAATTAACAATAATAATATTACTAGACCAAACCCTTATTTGCTCATACGAAATAACATATTCGTACGGAGCAGACAATCACTGACATTAACCGTTTGTACCTTTCCACGAGGGAGGAAGCCACCGTGGAAAAGCAACCATAGCGATATTAACAAGTAAGCTAGAAAGAAACAAAGGATTAGACGGGATATAATATACTATTTAAATAAGAGGCCACCTAATTTTATTGTCGCGTTACTTTGGTAATCTGAAATTTACTTTTCTTTCAGTTTGTTAATCGGGATCCACTGGAAGATGATTCTAGATTGAACTGCAAGATCTCCAAAGATGGTTGTAGTTTTAATTTTCTAGTCAGGAAAAGAAAGTTTAATATAATAATCTAAGGGTTGTCAACTCATGAGTGGACTTGCAGATTGACCTAAATTGATCAGGATTTGGTGAGGAAAATGGACTTCATACATGATATACCTGTGGGTTGACTCGTAACAAGGTTTCCGGGTTGGAGGTTATACGATGTCATTTTGTTTTGTTTTATAAATTGTATTTATTTTTCGATTTTTTCCTTCGCCTAACCTTAACTTTGAAATTCTAAGTTGAACATTGAAATATTTATGTTATATTAGTGAATTTTCGTTATATGTTGGATCCAAGTACAAATTGTTAGTTTAGTGTAATGTTATATATTATTAATCATATGTTAGATGAGATTTGATATAATTATAAATATATGAATAATATAACAACTTTTTTATATATCCGAACTAAACCAAACTTAAGCAATAAAACAATTAACTCACAACCCACTTGCTTGACCGAACAAATGAGCTAGACCAGATAGAACAATTAAATAGCATATTATAACTTTAATGTACTGAATTCTAAGCTCTAAATTTCTAATATTAAAATTACAAAAGATATATATATAATCGGTAATTAATATTCTTCTAACTATTTAAATTATTAAATTAATTTAAATATTTATAATAAAAAGGTCTCGAATTTGAATCCAACGAACTTTCCCTCCCTTTTCCTGACGTTCGGCCAGGACGTAGGGAGCGAGAGATGGACGAAGGCAACCGGTACTAGAGGTTGCCTATGAACGCACAAGCGCCAGTGGCAGACTATAGATAATGGGTGTGCGGTATAAATGAATAAATAAAATTATTAATTATGCATGAGTGCGATCACGTGACTACCAAAATAAGATCCATTAGATATATTTAGTATTCTTGAATATATTTTTTAATTATGATATATTCTTGCAATATTTGTTTAGCATATTGCGAAATACATATTTTTGCATTGAAGCTCTAATAATTTGATCAGAATTATATATATCTTATTAAGTTAAGATCACCATACAATGGACAATTAGCAAACGTGTATGAGTTCAAAGTTCTTTCTCGATCACATAGAGAAACTATGATACCAAAATCGCAATTAGAGGTTCTCAAATCTTGTACTAAGTCCACTCTCATTTGAGATTTAAAATCTCCTTTTAAGTGCATTGATTTAGAAATGACACACATAAATTGGTTGGCTTATTCATAAGAATGACAATCATGCATGTACTTAGCCTCATTTCAACTCGTAAAAGTTATTTTAAAAAAATTGCATGAAGCAAACTAGACATACATGTTTTATAATCTAGGCCTCCGCAATTATAATAACTCAAGGAATTGAATTCAGTCAAATCATGTCATTAGATAAAGGGAAAATTAATAATGTCACCATATTTTAGATGATTATTCGCTCATTGCAGCAACCATAAATCATAAACCGTTGTACCACTGAAATTAGCAATATTGCTACGTCGTCACAGTTTAAGATGCTTTATAATGAATAAGTTTTTTAGTAGAAAAGTAAAGCTCCCATTTTTTCGACTAGTAAGGGATTCATACATATATGCAGATTGATTCCAACGAAATGATAAATTTGGGGTTAACAACGTCATTAGGTTAAAACTCAGTGTGTTTTCCTTTTACTTGAAAGGATATTCTTAAGAGCATATATTCATATGAGATTTTGCAAATGAAGTATTTTGTGTACTAATTTTTCAATGTTGAATTAGTCTCTGGTAAAATTCGACGAAAAGACGTGGCAGACATGCACACCCCCAAGTCAGTGTTATCTGTACTAATTGTTAAATACTGAAACAAACAAAATCTGTTACGAACCTGGCCGAATGCAAGAGGCGAAAGCCGACAAAATAAATAAAAAAGTGGGTCAAAAGCCGGTAAATGTAACGTACTTCACGGGGAGAATGCATGTAGTCAAAGAGAAGAAATAAAAGAAACAACTTAAAAGAAAGTTGAAAAACGGAAAGCAAGAACTAAAAACCCTAGTTCAGACAGCTAAGAAGATCGGCCGGCATGCACGCCAGATGTTCGACTCGTTTAGCCACGTATATCCTATCTCAATGTCATAGAGACAGCTCACGTGTTTACTCCCCCGGTCAGATACTCCACCCGGCGTGATCATCAATGCTTTTACGCGCCCATTGTTTCAGATACCACCCTTCAAAACTCTATCAAAACTTACTGACACCAGAAACAGTCCCTTTTACAAATTACCCCGCGTTCTCGCTCCTTTTCTGCGTCGTTTATCGTTAAAAAAAGCGTAAATGACACCTTCCTTTCATCCATTACCTAACAAAGTATTATGACTAGAGTAAATCTACTTACCACTTACCAAGCAACACAAAATTGTTCCTATTGTTTCGCCTAATACCTTAGCAAAACTAATATTGATTTCGTCATTGGCTTGCCAAATGAAATCCTAGCCACTTATCGTAACAAACCCTAGGAGGCGAAAAGGGTAAGTTCACTAGCAATATCATGGGAAGAGTACGTACAAATATTAATAAAATATTATTATATCGGGATTGGTCCAGTGGTAATGCAGAGATACGTCGACGACGATGCCGCCAACCTACCATGCTAAACTCGCTAACTGATTAACTTTCCCGCGGGAAAAAGAAAAGGAATAAAGACTGTATCGTAATTGGCAAAGCTGTTTTCTTCTTTTTTTTACCGGGAGAGCCAGTCAGTGTTTACAGTAGTAGCGTTAAATTATAAAACCCGCTGGTCCCCTCGTGTTCGGTCTCTCCATAGCTAACTTTCTCGCTCTAAAGTCTCCATCCCTCCCTGGTTTTTCTCCGCTCTCTCACTAGGAAGAACAACTCTCTCTTGCACTTAACTCTCTCTCTCTCTCTCTCTCTCTCGGACGGACTGAAACAGATCTCCGGCATTGACTCAATCGTTGAGGTAACTCCGTTTTTAATGAATAATATGATTCTTCGCCTTGTTAATGCCCCTTTGAAGCTTTTTTAATTAATTCAGCTTTTTTTTTTTGTTTAATTTGGTTTCTGTTATGTTTCGGCCAAGCAACAACAGAAAGAGAATAAATTGGCATTCCGCGTGGTGATTTCAGTTTTTTTTTTCCCCTTGTGCCAATTTGTTATTGTTGATTTTCCATTCTAGCCCAAAAAAAATTTATTATTACTGGCATTCAATCCTGGTTAAATTTTTTTCACTTGATAAACGATTCTCTCGGCTTACTTTTTTTGGGTTTGGTAAACAATCTCCTTTCTTCTCTCTTTGCTCTACCTCAGAGCTACTGAGAGAGAGAGAGTTCTCTGTTTTTCCCCACAGATCTGCCAGGGAAATTGCTCCCAGGGGGGATTATGGTTTGGAAGAGGGGTTTTCATTTCCTCTAAATCCCTATTTTGCTGAATTATTTTTCTGTACTCTTTTTTTGGTGTTTGGTTTATCTAGAATTCGTCTACCTAGAGAAATGCCTCTCGAATTGGACAAGGAGGAGGGGGGGAATTTCTCTCTGGGCTAGAAGAGCCGGCATCAAAGGAAGGAGCAGAATTCAGGCAGGGAAGGGAAGGGAGCGGAAAGGAGACTAATTTTCGAGTAGTGGGTGAGAGTTCAGAGAGAGACTTACGGGGGTTTTGGAGGAGTGATGGATTCCGACGGGAGGCCGATTTTCCGGGCGCCGTCGGTGATCTACACGGACGGGCAGGGGAATCCAGTGCAGCAGCAGCAGCACGCGGACTGGTTGTCGGGGTTTCAATCTCCGGCGGGTGGGGAATTCGAGGCATGCAATGCGATTGAATTGGACAGGTGGAAGGATATTCCTTTCCAGTGCCTGCTGGCTCTGGCGGAGGGCACGGCTCAAGGGATGGGAGGTGGAGCTCCTGCTGCTTCTCAATCTCCTGCATGGAATACAACACACTTCAATTTGGGAGTTCAGGATCCAGGTAAGATGTGTTGTGTCAGATTTTGTTGCTTAAAGAGTGGATTTTGGTGTAGCTTTATCAAGGTTGAGAAGGGTTGTTAAAAGTTTGGGATGTTTTTTTTTTTTTTTTTTTTTTTGCAGTTCCTGCTCAGTACGACCTCAATTTACCTCATGAGAGCACGGAGGAGTCTTCGTCCTCGTTTGGGGGATTCAACTTTATGTTTGCTCCTGTAACGCCACAGAAGATGATGGATGGAAACCCTGCAGCAATGGAGAAAGGTCGTGTGAGAGTGGAGAGTGGACATGGTTTGGCTTGTGGAGGAAGAGGAACAGCAGACAAGCAAGCTGCTGTCAGTCCACTGAACCTCGATCTTACTTCCGAGGCTAGTAATGTAGGTCTGGTTCCGGATCCAGTTCCGGATTCTTCATCGACGGTTGGGTTGACAGCACAGGAGAATCAGAACAGGGAGAAGGTGGACTTCAATGCGATCGACTTGAACAAAACACCACCGAGGAAGAAACCCAAGAGGAAGAAGCACGTACCCAAAGTTCTGGTGGAAGGCAAAAAACCCAAGGCTCCGAAGCCACAGACCCCTAAGCAGCCCAAGAGGAAGTACGAGAAGAAGAAAGAGCTGAGTCCTCCAGCTGCTGGTGGCGGTGGTGAGGTAGAGAATCCGAACACGGAAGAGTCTGCAACGTCCAATGTGAATCAGAACGGTAAGAGGAAGAACATGAAGGCCGCCGCAGCACCAACTTCTCCGGTGACTAAAGAAGGCACACCAAGGATTAAGAGGAAGTACACACGGAAGGGCTCGGCAGAGAGTCCAACAAGAACAGTTGGGGAATCAGCTGCTTCTGAAGCAATCTCTGGAGGTAAGATAAAATATAGCCTGCGAAAATCATAAATTTGTTCAAGAAACAATTGAGGGGGAGTCCAAAGTCATGACCATTTTGCTCTTACTGTGTTTGTGCAGGAAAGTCAGGATGTACAACTCCACCTAGAGAAGCAACGGGGGAATCTGTAGATCCACAAGGTCCTCCTCAACCTGCCAAAAAGAGCTGTAGGAGGGTGTTAGATTTTAATTCAGAAGAAGCAGGAAGTCAAAGCTCTCTAAAGAAGCCATCATTGCCTAGTTTGGTGTCTGAGCCAGTGGCAAAAAGCCAATCGGCATCCGTTTCCTTTGGAGATGGAATTGAAGTGAGGATGCAGAATTCTCCCACAGGATCTCAATTCAACTTCGAGAATTCTGTCAAAGAACTGCTTAAAAGTTATGTACCCAAGGCAGTAAATAAAGCAACCACTAATGGAAAAGAGATGTTAGCCACTCAGTCCTTGCAGCAGCACAGCACACCAATTTCACTTTCAAATGCATCAAGCTGCAGTGGCTTAGTCAGAACTGTGACTGAGCTGGGTGAAGCAAGTGGGTCATCAGCAAACACAAATTCTGGTCCGGTTAGGCATTTTCACAATGGGTTATCTATATACCAGACATTGCCTTGGACACTAATGCCAGAGTGTCGGAAAAAGAGGAGCGAAAAGGCACCAAATTCAGCAGTGTCTAGCATGCCCATTGTCTCCCCAGCTGCCAGAAAAGTCAATCACTTTTCTTATTATGATCATTCTCACGAAAACGGACTTCTTTCAGGGACAGTTGGAAAAGCAGAATCTGCTGCTGGCTTTCTTCAATATAAACTCCACAATTTCAGTCCACTAAATGAGATTGAGAGGTCAACTAAAAGAAGGTCTAAAGCTCCTGTCAGGGTTCACGATCTAGGTTCTCTTGTCACTATCCCTCAACATAACAACCAGCACATTCAGAACTTAAACAGGCCCGAGGTACGTTTGGGAGCTCTACTTGCAGGTCCCCAAGCAACCTTGAAGAAGCCAAAGAAGAATAGTAAACGGGGTTCTCTAGGTAGCTATGCATCCTCAAGTACTAGTAACAAAGGGCAAAACAGGAGGATGGTTTCATCTAATCAGAACCAATTCTCAGGTGAGTTTTTGGAAACAAGAACTGTCACTGAATAGATAGTTTCATATAGCTCTATACTGTTTTCCTTATATCGGGACCCGTGTTTGGTGCAGGTTCACTGGAAATGCTATTCAACCAGATGCTCAATGTGGATGAGTTAGCTGAGCAGTTAAAGCACCTTAACATCAATAGGGAAAGCCCTAACATTACTTTTGCTCAGACGAAAGAACTAGTTCCCTACAGAGCCAGCAAAAGCAAAAAGAAGCAGAAGGCAATGGTTATCTACAAAGGGGATAACAGGATGGTTCCATTCGAACCCGTGAAGAGAAAGCGACCCAGGGCAAAGGTTGAAATAGATGACGAAACGCTTAGGGTGTTTAATCTTCTACTAAAAAGCATAGACAGTGAAGGCATTGATGGGACGGATGAAGCAAAGACAAAGTATTGGGAAGAGGAAAGAAGGATCTTCCGTGGGCGCACAGACTCATTTATAGCAAGAATGCATCTTGTACAAGGTAAGCAAAAACAGTCCGTCCAGGTTTAATTTGTTCATGTTGAAACCCAATCATATCAAGGCGTTTATCAACTTACATGCTATGCATTAGTGTCGGTCTGTACTGCTACCAAATAGATGAAATTAAGTACTTTGTGGAAGGATACTGACATTGAATTTAAGGATATTAGACTAGAAGACGGCACTCAAATAAGTTTCAATCAATGAAGTCTATCAAACTTTGATACCTGCAGTATTTTTAAGATTTCAGTTAGACTTCCAATAATCAACCCAAGTACCTCGCATCTGGTTATGCTATTCCTACACTCAGAACAACCTTAGTACCTCACATCTTTGTCATTGCCTAACATTACATGACACCTTTTGCAGGGGATAGGCGCTTCTCGAGATGGAAAGGATCAGTTGTGGACTCAGTTATTGGAGTGTTTCTGACCCAGAACGTTTCAGACCATCTTTCTAGGTAAGGACTGGTTTTCAAGATAATCCCATTAAATAACTATATCAGATTATAAATGGAAAGGGAGAATTGCTTACATTACCTTTTCTTTCACATTTCAGCTCTGCATTTATGTCAATGGCTGCTCGATTCCCCATTAAGAGAAATCAGGAGCCACAGTGGGAAGAGGGAGGGTCCATAGTGATCAACCCGACAGTTTCTATGCCAGATGATGAATGCTTGAACTGGGATGAGATGTCGAATCAAACAATTTCTTACCAGATTTCCATGACTCTCTGTGACCCTCAATGTGAAGAAATAGAAGTGGCACATGACCTGGATCCCAATAGAAGCACGAGCATGAATATTGGCTTGGCACCTAGCAAACAGAATTATGATGAATCAGTGATCTCTCAGAATTCATCTCAAAACTCAAATTCGCCAGTCAGTCAAACTTTTGACAACATTAGAGAGTCGTGCATGGAGACCAACTCGCAAGAAGTGGATACTTGCTATGGTGGAGCCCAACTGAACAGCTTGGGTGGAGGTAGTAGTTCTTTCGTTGAGCTGCTACGGAAGGCTCAATCTGGTTCGACCATGCTACCAAAGGAACAATCGACAAACCTTTCAGGAGGGATGTTTGAGATTGTGGAGAGTAGCGATAAATTTGAGAAGGAGAGGACCTCTCAGAACACAACAGGGTCGAACTTAATTAACCATGCCCCTCCCAAGGGTAAGGGGGTAAAAGATTTGAATGCTGCTAGGAGAAAGGCAAAAAGTAGAAGGGTTGGTGATGAGATCAAAGATGCTGACTGGGAGGCACTCAGAAGAACCGTATTGCCAAATGGAATAAACAAGGAGAGAGCAGAGAATGCAAAGGACTCAGTGGACTGGGAAGCTGTAAGATGTTCAGACGTTGATGAGATTGCCGAGACGATCAAAGCTCGTGGAATGAACAACATGCTTGCAGCACGCATGAAGGTACATACATTAACACATTGTACTGCCTAGCTAAGGGATATCATTAAAATCCCTAGTTGTACACTACCACTGACCACTCGCTAACTTGCAGGAGTTTCTTAATAAACTGATAACCTATCATGGAAGCATAGATCTGGAGTGGTTAAGAGATGTCCCCCCTGACAAAGCAAAGTAAGTACAAAAGTATTTAAAGCATCCCACTTCATTGCATGAACATATTCTGGACATGCTTGAGAACACTTAGCTCTTGCAAATGCAATCAATGCTAGTTTCTTTTGACAAGGAAAAGTGAACTCTACTTACTGTTGTAGGGAGTACCTGCTAAGCTTCAACGGACTGGGGCTGAAAAGTGTGGAATGTGTCCGGCTTTTGACGCTTCATCACCTAGCCTTTCCAGTAAGTTTGAGCAAATTTACTTCTGAAAACTATAAAGATTTGCTACTCGTACAACCACACTTAACCTCACGAATAACAGGTTGACACAAATGTTGGGCGTATAGCTGTCCGACTTGGATGGGTCCCCCTGCAACCCCTGCCTGAGTCACTTCAGTTGCATCTACTGGAAATGTAAGCATCATCAACCATAAGAAAGTTGTGAAATAGAATAAATGCATGGCCATGCAAGGCACTAACATCGTGTTCACTCTGCAGGTACCCTATACTGGACACAATTCAAAAGTATCTATGGCCTCGACTGTGCAAACTTGATCAGAAAACACTGTAAACACAAAACCCTAATTGTTTTAGTTTGTACACATCATCTGTATGTGAATACCACATGTTCATGCTTCCATTATCTTCTGTTTTTAAGTGACATATTTGAGCTAATGGACGACAAATGACAGGTACGAATTGCATTACCAACTGATCACATTTGGAAAGGCATGTTCCCTTCACATTTAAACTGCTACTGATGTTATCCTTTTATTATTGAAGCTCAAGTCAAACATGACATCTTTCAAATTAATGCAGGTTTTTTGTACAAAAAGCAAGCCAAACTGTAATGCGTGCCCAATGAGAGGAGAATGTAGACATTTTGCCAGTGCATTTGCAAGGTTTGTTTGTGCACTATTTGCTATTTTTTCAAATATTGGAATATATTACAATTGAAGGACATAGTACAGGATTAGTTTAGACACCCATAACAAAGCTTGAACCAATGCTAGATAATGTTAACAAAACAAAGGAAGCATCTGAGAAAATTACCAGGAAAGCCAAGTTACTTACCATTTGCTGCATGCAGTAGTTAAAATAGTGTACTGCAATCATAATACTGTCTTGAAACCTGTATCAAGAATGCAATACCCTCTTGTGTGAGACTTATGAATTTACTATTCAAATGCATGGATGCAGTGCAAGACTTAGCCTCCCTGGACCAGAGGAGAAGAGAATAGTTACTGCACAACCTCAAGACCGGCCAACTTTCCCAGGCCCAGTTATGCCAAATGTTCAAAGATCTATATTACCTCCACCAACCATATGTGAAGCAACTCAACCGTCAATATCTCAACCATCATCAACAGTGCCTGAACAAGAAAGTTGCCAGTCAGGGATGTTGCACCTTCCAACAGTAAAAGCAAGAGACAACTGTGAGCCCATCATTGAGGAACCATTATCACCAGAACCACAATGCACTCAAGCCGAAATAGATGACATTGAAGATGCATTTTATGAGGATCCTGATGAAATCCCCACTCTTAAGTTGAATGGGGAAATCCCTGCCATCCCATTTAATGTTCAAGAGCTTGCTCAGAATATCGAGACATATATCAAACAGAACATGCATCTTCGTGAAGGTGACATTTCATTGGACTTAGTTGCTATGGCTACAGAGGCTACATACATTCCTCCCCCCAAGCTTAAAAACATTAGCCGGCTAAGAACCGAGCACCAAGTGTAAGTAGCCATTCCACTCCTAAAATATCCTATATGTGCTTCTTTGGATGGTATATATTTATTCTAGTATGCTAGTTGAGCATATACTAACTCATTTTCTATTCTATAATTCGGCAGATATGAACTACATGATACTCATCCTCTTGTGCGAAGGGTTAGTTAATTCTGCTTTTCTCAAATAATCAGTTTATTCACTCTATTATAACAAAAACAAATTACTGACTTTTGCTTCTGGTGTAGTTGGAAAAGCGAGAAGCTGATGATCCATCTCCATATCTCCTTGCAATATGGACCCCAGGTATGTGACTTTGCTAAAAGGAGATGAATGGCCTAAATTCTGTAATTTTCAAACTACTCCTGATTTTTTCCTCAACTATTACTTTCACTAGGTGAAACGGCGGAGTCTGTCGAACCACCTGAGACAATATGCACATCACAGTCACAGGGAAAATTATGCGATGGAGGGACATGTCCATCATGCTGCAGCTTCTTGGAAGCAAGACGTCAAGTAGTTAGAGGGACTATTCTGGTGAGCAAAATGCAATTCACTATCAGAATCACTTATTGGAATTATACTATGGCTATGCTATGTGGCTTGCTGACAAATGTACACACCACATGACACAGATACCCTGTCGAACAGCGATGAGAGGAAGTTTCCCACTCAACGGAACATACTATCAAGTGAATGAGGTAATCATAGCTTTACAGATCGTTTTTCCCCTCCAGTTAATAGGAGGATAGTAATACAACGTACCTTTTTTCTTACAGGTATTTGCTGACCACGAGACTAGTGAAAATCCAATTGATGTACCCAGGGATTGGCTATGGGATCTACCCAGAAGAACTGTCTACTTTGGAACATCTGTACCAACAATATTTAGGGGTAAAGTTTTTATTACCGTTTGTTTGACTACCATGTTCTAGGGATCAAAAAACAGTCATGCAACTGGATTTAAGAACTGTATTTTATTTACAGGTTTGACTACTGAGCAAATCCAACAATGTTTCTGGAAAGGTATGCAATTGTGTTGCTCTCCTTTCTCTTTCTGTTCTATATGCATAAACTGTAAATCAGAGCCACACTGCAACAGTTCAATTAAGTTGCTCCTATGAGGCATACATGTTGCAAGACATACTATGTGACTTTATGGAAGAAGGAAAAAAAAACACCTAGTTCACCTTGAATGCTTAAGCTTGAACTAGGATACCACTCCCCAACCAATTTGCATACCATACAACAATAGGAGAATCTGAGCATATTGTTTAATCTATTTCAAACATTTTCTCACAGCAGAAGAATCATTCTTCAAACATGCACATGTCTATTCTATCAGCACTTAAGTTTGCTTTTCCAATACAGGATTTGTCTGCGTTAGAGGATTCGACAGAGAAACGAGAGCACCGCGTCCTCTGCTGGCAAGACTGCACTTTCCAGCCAGCAAGATGAAGGGAAAAGAAAAAGGCAAGAATGTGGCTGACGATGATGAATAGATAGTTTCTCCGAACCAAATCTTGACGCGATAATCAAACCATGCTCGAGGACAATAATAAGTAGCAGGGATCACATTCAATGACAGAGACTCGGTTCATAAAGAGAAGTTCGAGAAAAAAGCCGAACGAGTTGTTGGATTTCCCATAATATGGGGTGTAGCATTTGTGTATACATAGCAAAAAAACTGTAATTTCTCAGAGTTGCGCTCATATTTTGAGCATTTTTCTTACTTCATGTTAAGTATCCCCAAATGTCCCTTGTGCCTTTCGTAGATACACCTAAAACTGTTTCAATTGCCATCATTCATCAGGATCATAATGGTTCAGGAGTAGCTAATGCATTAGCTTGCTAACATAACTACTCCAAAGGAGCTTTTTCTTCTCCATATTGGATCTTAGCAAACTCACTACTGACTTTTTCTTAGATGAAATCCTAAGCTGCTGGCAGCAGCGTGTTCTCCAGATACTTACATTTCAATGCAGAGAAATTACCTAAACCAGGTGTAAAATCACTCAAAACTCGGCTCAATTGTTCTCTCTGTATACACGTTATTACTCTAGTTAGAGAGCAAAGCTACAACACCTAGGCTGCCGCTGCGGCCACCAGACTTGCATGCGAAGAAATTACCTAAACAAGATATGAATTCTCTCGGCATAGACTACTTCAATCAGATACCGAAGAATACAAAGCGAGCAAAATCGTCAAGCAATCTCCGATCACTTAGAACAACGACAAAACAACACAAATCATACCGAGCATAGTCGTCAAGCAATCTCCGACGACATAGAACGACGAGAAAAACAGAACAAATCACATCAGAAACACTCGAATAACCGGAATCCGCAAGTTGCAGCAATTTTTTCATCAAACGCCCAAGGCTTTTCGCTACATAAATGAAGAGATGCAGAGTTGCAGGTGATTTGGAAACGCACCTTTCGTCCTTCGACGGCGAGCGGGCAAAGCGAAGGAGGGACTGGCTGAACGCTGAGGGGGGAGAAGAGAGGAGGTGGAGAGATGTGCGTTTAGGCGGTTCCGCGGATTTGCCGCTTTCCATAAAACGTTTAGGCGCCATTGTCATTTCATTTTCCCTCCTGCTTTGCGATCTTTGTTTGATTTTTTTGAAATTTTGTAAACCTCGTGGGAGAGTACTGGGCTCTTCGTGGATCTGTTGGCCTTTTACCTTGGAGATTGGTTTTAGTTAAGCCCATCCGACGAGAGGAGGTTGGATCGGACCGATCTTAAAATTAAATCCAGCCTTCAAATGTATGATTTTCTAGGATTTGTGTATTTCAGTTGACTAATTCATACAATTTTATAGGATGGAAGGAGTTTACCAGCGGCGGGTCTAGGGGGGGCCGCCCCCGGCCGCGGCCCAGCCCTCCCTCGATCCAGAGCTAGTATAGCACGTGTAAATTTTTTATTTTTGGTGTTCGTTTAGGTGTTCGTTCTAGTGTTTGTCGTGTTACGGCCCAGCCTTCTCTGCTTTTTTCCAATGTGGCCCAGTGCTCTACCCAATCCTGGATCCGCCGCTGGAGTTTACCAATATCTTTCGTACATGAGAGATGTCTTTTAAAAAAATAATAATAATAACAAGTCGATGAGTTTAAGAACGTTTGTTTCGAAATCGATAATTTGGACCGCCACTTTTTCGAGGGCAAGTCTATATTATTTTGGGGTTCGTAAGAGATTTCATAGTAATACACTATAAAATTGAAATGACCAGTTGGAACCCACAAAATTAGGAGGTGTAAATACCCAAAACAACACAAAATATCATGAAATATGTCAATAACTATACAGAACACAGGAAGTTATAAATGCATAATCTTAATGGTAAAATCATTTAGTCTTTGCAAGATGATGTAGATCCAAATTTGATAAATCAACCGTTAAGTCCTCGAAACATGCTATAATTTGTCACTCATTCTCTCCTAATACCTATGTATCTTTTTTTCCTTTGAGGAGAAACTACATTTGTTTCGTTTAGCACGGCTACAAAGAATGTAAATATACATAATTAAAATAACTAGGAAAATCGAAAGGAGACAACATAAACCGGATACGAAGAGTCATCTTGGCATCACAATCAGCTCCTCTACCACCAAAAAATTGTATATAATCAATAGGACAGCTATCAAGAAGACCACCACAAAAGCAATTGTGGACCTTTGACCAATTGATGTTATGATCCTCTTTGGTGAAAGCTTTAAGATAGTTTCAAGTTTCAACATTGAACAACCATTGATGTCCGATCGTGATATCCATTTGTCCATGTCTCTCCTTCCCAAAAGCCACCGATAATCTACATTCACCGACCAACTTAAGGGGGAAAAACAAAGGAAGAATGAAAACAATTGTAGCAACAAGGCATCAATTGGTCAACTACAAAGAAAACACCGACAGCCTCCATTTGAGCAGCCCATGGGATTTAGGGGTGGGTTAGGGGTGAGAATTTCTACGCTATTTGAGTTGCGGTCCGTTTTGAGGCGGATAATACTTGTTCTTAAATAGAGTGGGGATTGGGGAGGAAATGGATGCTCTTCCCGACTTAACATGTCCTGATTCATTTTATTTTCGACAGGTTTTGCCTAAATTATATGTAATTTTACTCAAATTACTTATGATTTTACTTTTATTATCTCATAGTTTAATTATAATAAAAGTTGTAAATAAGTAAATTTTTTGATTTTTTGAAGGATTTAACTATATTTATCATGTTATAGTTTGTTTATTTAGTTCTTCGTTTCAAAAATGAGTATTCTAATATATTTCTTTTAAATTATATACATATATAGGTCTATTTCCCCAACAAGATCATATGTTTTTTTAAGGTACATCATATGATAAATTACTCAACCTAAAAGGTTAAAAGTTAAAACCGACCTATGAGTTTTGATATCGGGATACTCCTCTCGACCTGGCTTGTTACTCATAGTCATTGTATCATTAAAGCTAGCAATGGGTTTGAACTTTGAATTTTCTCCCATCAAGCCATATATATATATATAGCGAGTTCTACGGTACCCAGGGTGAAATCCGGGGTACCGCATACCTTGAGTATGAAAACACTATCTAGTCCTTGAATTAATTCATCTTTTGGACATGATGCTATACTCTAACCCTTAAAGATCAAAATCTAGGTCTTAGTTCTCTAAATCTTATACTCCAAGATCAATTTAATTAGAAACAAGAATCGACGGATATGATTCGTCCAAATATAGGCAAAAAGATGAATGCTCCATCTTAGGGTTTATAGTTTATGATTTAGATAATTAGGACCTATGGTTCACTCATTAAGGGTTAGGGTATAGTATCAAGCCCAAAATTTTTGCTAATTCGAAATCTACATAGTGTTTTCATACTCAAGGTATACGGTACCCTGGATTAGTGTATTACACCCGGGGTACCGTAGAAGCCACCATATATATATATATATGCTTATTAAAAGGCAACATGAAGGATTAATTATGACTAGATATGAAGAGAATAGTGGATTCCAATGGCTTAATAAGACAGTGGTGGATGAACAAGACGACAAAGGGAGTGGTGGTGGTGGCCAACCTGCATGCAGCAGCAGGTATCTAGGTGTAGGTGTGTAAATAAGTCGTATCCTAATGATCGTAATTAAGCAACTTTTTTAATAGTAAATAAATAATTAAGCAACTTGCACTGCTTGCTAATTAACAATTACCACTGACCCTAATGACAACTTTCCTGTATTTGTTTTCGAGCGGAATCTGATATTGTTATAAAAAGAATGGCCAATGGCTAGAGATGATGAAATATTAAGCGGATGTGATTGGTGTCGGTAAATGGTATAATGTATATGATCAATAATCAAACATTTTTTCAGCAAATCAAGTTATTAATATTAATTGGTTCTTTATATTGTATCAAAGTTTTTGATAATTGAAAGGTATTGTATACGAAACCCGACTCCATGATGAATGGGAATTGGGCAGACTTCAAGCCTGTGTGAGTTGGCTTTCGTTTGAGGGACGTGTTAGTAAATGGTATATGATAAGTATTTTAACATCTTTTAGCCAGACGAGTTATTGGTACCAACTGGTTCTTGATAATAGGATGTTAGATAAGGCTCGACCTCTTTGGAACTTCATAAATCACCTAGGTTCTCTTAAAGTGCACTTCCAAGGGCCTAAAATCACTTGGACTAATTGTGGACGGCTGGGTATCATGATAAAGCATCGTATTGATAGGGCTTTTTTTTGTCTCCCTTGCGGATGACCCTCTAATCTGAAACCATCTTCTCTCATTTATCATATAGTGGCTCGGATCATATGTCTCATTACTAATCCGAGTTTCATGAGTCATAAGAGATAGTTCAACCTTGATAAAGATGGACCAAATCACCGGAAGCAGGCCCAATCAAAGATTTTGTATGAAGGTTACCCATCTCGGGGTCTCCGCAATTCTTTTTATTCTATAGGCTAATTCGAGTTCGGCGTGCTCTGGTTGACTGGTGTATAGGAGGAAAATCAAACTCGGCCATAAACCTTAGAGACTTGAGGCAATCTATTGAGGGTGCTAGAGATCCAAGGCTAGTGGATTTGGGAACTAATTTGATTCTAATAAGGATGGTTGTCCACGTAATATGCACATGAAGAGTTGTACTTACGACAAACGTCCAAGATTAGATGGTTACCTGAGGGAGATAGGAACACAACTTACTTTTCACTTGGTTGCCTCAACAAGGCGTAAATCCAATGTCCTAGAGGTTTGGAAGAACATGTATGTACCTGACATACTGTTGGAGTAACAAATATGTGGTATTGTTACCCAGGCGGTAAGAATTAGGCTCATGGACCTTATGGCTTAACGATAGGTTTCTTTCAGGCATGTTGGGATACTGTTGGGCAAGATGTTACTAAGGAGATGCTAGCATTATTTCACTCAGAAAACCTCCTAAGTAATGTTAACCGAACTTGGATATCTCTAGTCCCAAAAGTCTAAGACGTTAAGTGTATGAAACACCTCCAGTGGATTAGCTTGTGACGAGACATCTTTAGTAGTGTTCGTGTGGTCATCCTTTGGCGGTCTGCTCTCTGGTTGGATTCTCCTCAACTGGATGCTCCCTAGCTCCTCCTCTACAACCTGGTGGTGGCTCTTAAGAGAAGAGGAGTGAACTACCTAACTAGATGTCCAGTTTGTTGAAGACGCCGTGAGAACATTGAACAATGTTCTTTCGATGCCCTTTAGCCACTCAACTTTGGTCTTTAGTGGGCTAATTGATTTTGTAACCTCCGCCCGACTATTAATTCCAGTTTATGGTGGTGACACATTATACTATTTAAGTACTCCCAATACAAAATTCTCCAACTTATCTGCCATTTATGGAGAATAAGGAAATCTCGAAATAAAGTGGTGTTTGAGTTCACTCAGCCACAACCCACATGCTCGTTCCTTAACTCATCATAGTTTTCTTCAAGCCCGTGAATTTGCCACTAACTCCCCTACTTCTGTGGCTCATATTCTCCCTCATTCGCCCTTAAGTTTGGCTCGTTAGGCTGCCCCTCCCGAAGACTTCCTCAAAATAAACTTTGGCGCTGTCGTCCGTAATGTTGCATGTCTTCTAGCCCGATGGTTCGTGGGGGCAGACGAGCATGTGTTCTAGCTTTTGGGTTTCATCACTTGGGGCGTCTTATCCCTATGTTGCATAAGTCCTCGCTGATAGTGATGCCCTCTCTCTCGTCGTCTCTCAGAGCCTTCCTTGTGTTATCATCAAAGGCGATTATGAGGTGGTGGTTTGTCAACTTCGTCTTTGTGTGGTTGCGGATGCCCTAAGGGGAGGGGTTGTTGCTCTGATAGTTTCACCAACTCCTTTCCTCATCCTCTTGTTGCATAGTCTTTAGGGCGGTTCCTCGAATTGCAAATCGTGCTGCCAATAGAGTGGCACGTAAAGTCTTGACACTTTCTTCTTTGGAGATTGTTTCCTTGATTTTGTAAGTTGGCTTATCTAGTGGTTGTTTAGGGATTCAAAGGGGATGGGTGTAGTTTGTTTCATAACTTTCTCTTGTTATCTATTGGAGGAAAAAAAAATCAACGCAAACTCAAACTCTATCTTGTAAATGAATCGCTTGAATTGTTAACCAAATTTCTATTATTCTCTCTCCCATAATGTTAGTCAATCGCCTTCAAATGGACACTCGTCACAATCTCTCGATGCATAAGACTAGGGTGCAACACCTAAAATTTAGAACCCATCGCAATGTTATTCCCGAACCACCTTGTTTGATTGCAAATATTATCGTTGATCATTATATGATAGAGATAGTCGGATTGCTTGATACGAAAGAACATACGAGTATGGATATACTTGTCGTGTTCAATATTTTTGTTGTTGATGAAAGAAATATGATGCGTATCCTTTAGTAATTTACATGGATCACTATTCACTACTAATAGTTATAATCGAAATTTGCTCATCCTAAATTTCAATCACTATGCAAATTAATTGAATTCAGGAAGGAACGATAACGTCTAAAGAATTTGAATTGAATAAAATTCCAAATATAGCAAATATTAATCAAGATGATCCATTTCACATTTAGTGAAACTCGATTAAGGAAAATACTCGATTAATTATATTCACGTTGACCCGAACGGACCAGCCGTTAGCCGCTGTTCGGTTATATTATGGGTTCATTACATTTCTCTCTTTTTTTTTCCCCGACAACGGAACGTTAAGACTGAAGAAAGGAGAAAAAGAGAGACGAAGACAGAGAGAGAGCTCTGTTCCGCCCTTTCTTCCAAAATCCCACAAAATTCTAGAGAGAGAAACGAGCCAAAACGCGTTCCAGGTTCAGCTCACCTCTCCGCTCCTCTCTCTACTCCTTCCAATCGGCAAAATGGCGGTGTTTAGGGTTTTGAGGCTGCTTTGAGTTGAAGGAAACTCCCAAAAGCAGGATCTCCATGGAAATGCCCGGTCGAAGATCCAACTACAGTCTCCTCAGTCAGTACCCGGACGACCAGCTATCGGCGGGGACGCCGCCGCCGCCGTACTATGACTCGTTCTCTAGCGACTCCAAGAGCGGCAGGATTAAGTCGGATAGAGATAGAGGCTTCGATTGGGAAGCCGGCGGCGGTGATCACAGGCTGAATCAGCCGGCCAATAACAACAACAGCAACGGCAACAGTAATCGGGGTAATCTGAACTTGTATTCGTCGATCGGGCTGCAGCGGCAGTCCAGCGGGAGCAGCTTCGGGGAGAGCTCGCTGTCTGGAGAGTATTATGCGGCGCCGCTGTCGACGGGCGGCGGCAACGAGATTGAGCCTTATGGGTACGCGACAAGAGGGATGGACGCCGCCGCGGGGATGACGACGGGACCGGGTTCGTCGGGGAAGAGCTGGGCGCAGCAGACGGAGGAGAGCTACCAGCTCCAGCTGGCGTTGGCACTTAGGTTATCATCGGAGGCGACTTGTGCCGATGACCCGAATTTTTTGGATCCAGTGCCGGATGAATCGGCTTCCCGGTCTTCCAGCTCCAACTCCGCGGAGACCTTGTCTCATCGATTTTGGGTATTTACCAGTTTCTCTTAATCTTTCTTTCGAGGAACTTCGTCTGGGTGTTAGGTCATGAAATTCATTGAACGTTAGAGGTAAGAGAACTGTGCATGCGCATTTTCTAACCCTAGCAGTTAGTTGGTGTGTCATGACTCATGAGTGTTATTTCATATGCGTATTTCAGCAGCTGAGTGGGTAGCAACATATTGGATTTTAAGTGACAATTCTATTTGATATATGCATTTCCATGGCAAAGCAAACAAGAAGAATAGGTTGAGATACATAGAACAGCGATTGCTTGCTGATGGTGGGGATTATTGAAATGACTAGAAGGAAACGAATTAGGATGGTTAACAATTTGGACCAGTTTGAATACATTATCTTCGTTTTACATAGTATGCAAAATCTGGTTGATAGTAAGATCACACCACTTGTTTGCTGCTGCCAACAAGGAATTGATGGACTCACAGTAGAACTTAGGAAGGATTTTAGACGATTTAACCTTCAAAGTAGAAGTATTTGGCTATTTGCATTGGGCGTGAAAACCTTATAGCTAGAACTTCTGAGAAACTTGATAGTTGTCATTTCTGATGTCTATGGTCATTCACTGATGCATTTTTCTTCGCTACAGATCCAAAGATGTGAGTATTCTGCAATACCTCACTGATTGATATGTTTGAATACCTATATAATGTATTGATGTGCCTCACATTAGTCTTAACTTCTCAAAACTCTTTGAAAAGGTCTTCATGTTATGCCATCTTCGTTAACATCACCTAGAAAACAAGAGCAGCATATGGGGCCTGTTCATGCACTTCACTATCTTTGTGTTTCATAAGGAAGTAATGGAAATATTTAGTTAATGTGAGAGTTGTAACAGAGAGGAAAACATTGGTTCCGTGACTTCTCTCTATGCATCTTTATTTGTTTTTCTTGTTATTTGCTATTGTTGTTAACGGTGGCTGCTAACATGGTAAAATGCAAGTCCAAGCTTTCATGGGGGAGTAATGTTTAGCTTAGCACTGCCAGTAGTTAATATCATAGCTTTGCAAAGATAGGTCCCTGTGCATTCATTTTCTTAACTAATCTAGATTTTGAAATTGGTTTGTATACTGGTTGGATTTAGTCCCCGTATGATCAAATTTAATGTGATTCCTTCTCTCCTATGAGTGGACCAGTGGATTATGTTTTCTTATTCATGTTTATTGATATTTTCACCGGCAAACTGATATGATTATCTCGACTTGCATCAGGTAAATGGTTGCTTATCATACTTTGATAAGATCCCAGATGGATTTTACCTCATTTCTGGGATGGATCCATATGTATGGTCTATGTGTACTGATTTTCAAGAGAATGGTCGTATTCCATCCTTTGAAACACTAAAGTTGGCTGATCCTACCGCCGACACTTCATTGGAAGTGGCGTTGATTGATCGGCGTAGTGATCCGACCTTGAAAGAGCTTCAAACCAGGGTCCACAATATATCTTGCAACTCTATAACAACAAAAGAGGTTGTTAATCAACTGGCCAATCTTGTGTGCAATCGCATGGGGTGAGCTATGCTCTTCCGGCTTATTTTATGTTTATTTTGTTTAGATGTAACAGAAGCTGCTATTTTGTAGAATATTCTGTTAATCAATCTTTTATTACTACAAGGGGTTCAGCCACTACTGGTGAAGATGAATTCTTTTCTACATGGATGGAGTGCAATGATGATCTAAAAGATCGTTTGGGATCAATTGTTGTCCCAATAGGCAGCTTGTCTATTGGCCTCTGCAGACACCGGACATTACTATTCAAAGTAGGATACCATTATTTATTTTGTCTCTTGAAGCTGCCTAGATTGTTTGGAGCTTTTGAGTTTATTTCTCACATTGGATATTTTACAGGTTCTTGCTGATGCAATAGATTTACCATGTCGAATTGCGAAAGGCTGCAAATATTGTAAAAGAGATGATGCTTCTTCCTGTCTTGTTCGATTTGGCCCTGACAGGTACTGTTTCCCCTTAAAATGTGGGTCCTCTCTGATTTATCGATAGGATGGCCGTTTGCTTGCCCACCAGTATCTGAACATAAAATTGCATCTTGTTTCTTGAACTTGTAAATTTTGTATTCATACCTTCATTCGAATTGGAGATCTCCAGCACAAGTATGTATGCACTTGTGCTAAAGGTTCTCTAACCCGGTGCCTGAACTTTTGCTAGTTGTAATGCTTGTATCATTTGGAAAAACTTATGCAAGTTGGCTGTAAGTTGTATTTATAGCAAATTGTGTGTGATACATCAGATTTTTTACAGTTCTTTTTATTTTTTGGTTATGAAATTTCAGGGAGTATCTAGTTGACTTGGTAGGAAAGCCAGGTCTTTTATTTGAGCCCGATTCATTGATCAATGGTCCTTCTTCCATCTCAATATCTTCACCATTGCGCTTCCCCCGGACCAAATCAGCTGAACATGCCATTGATTTTAGGTCACTGGCCAAACAGTACTTCGCAGACTGTCAGTCACTGAATATTGTGTTTGATGATACTTCAGCAGGTAATAATTGGAAAAAGTTCATTGGAACAAAGCTGGTACTTTTTGCTGTAAGTTGGCTCTTAATGTTGCTATCTGCTTTTATTAGGAGGTGGATTTTTTCTCATTATTGGCTCTGCAGAGAGATATCTGAATCTAGTCTTCTAGTCAGGAGGTTATTCATGTGATTCTTGTTGCTTGTTTGTAGCTATGTGTCATCATTTTATTGGCAAACTTTGTTTATGGCTCAAACATTTCAAAGTCATTGCGATTGTGGTTCCCATTTACCTTACTTCGATCCAAGTTTTCGATCAGGGAATTGAGATTATGTTCTGTTACTTGAAATCTGGGTTCAGAATTTCGTGGACCTTCTGACCTAAGAGATCTCAGACATAGCAATAAGCATTTGCGTGGTGTAATTTTGGTAACTCTAGTGGTAATACCATTAGCCTTGAACCTGGAGGTCCCAGGTTCGAATCCCTTAAGTAGTATCTAACTACAAAAAAGTACACCTATATCACCCATATAATTTTTTTTGGTAATCTTTCAGGTTTTGCTAAAGTCTGGTGACATCCTAGAATTTGCAATGCTATATCTCAAATTATATACCATATTAGTTTCTAAAATTAGCACATGATTTATCCTGTTGTTAATTTTAATTGCATGAGGTATTAGAGTTCGTAAGATTTTAATTTGTTGCTGCTTAATGTACAGCAGGAATTACTACCAGTGCTGAAGAAGACCATAAGTTCCCTAACAACAATGAAGCTTCTCAACCCCTTCTGCCCCCTCGAGCTACCCGGACTGGTGGCCAGGATAGGAGTCTGCAACCACCAAAAGTCTATAACCCAGCCCAAAGCAAACAACCGTCAAACATGCTCAAAGATCATACCCCAATTAAGCATGTACCTCCCACTGTGCAACATCTTCTGTCTGTATCGAGTTCCGATGCAAGGTTTTCTGAAGGTAGTCAATTAATTTCTGGTAGACCAAGTAAAGATCTATCCCTTGAGGCGGAGGAATTCGACATCCCATGGACTGATCTTGTTTTGAAAGAGAGAATTGGAGCAGGTATTTACTTTCTGCTGTATGTACATGCACTTAAAAACTATTCACCTGTGGCTTGTAAGCCTTTTATTCTTCTCCTAATATCTAATGTTTTTGATCCGTTGATCTTTTGTGCTTCTCGACCAGGTTCTTTTGGAACTGTCCATCGTGCTGACTGGCATGGCTCAGTAAGTTGTTATGAGCTACTCATGGTTTTGATATCTCTATTACTTTCCCGAGCTACTCTGTTAAGCTTTTATGGTCTAAAAAATTATATTGAGGTAGGAAGAGCTATTATGTTTGGTAGAAATTAACTTGAACGGAAGTAGTGCTGCTAGCCAGCATGCATTTACCTGGCCGACTTTCCATTCATCATGCCCTGGTTATGTGATCTTTCATGAATTAATTTTTGATTGCGGAAGCTGATAAATTTGCAGTGGAGGAACTGATTGATCTGACTCAAATGTAACTGCGTTCACTTTGACGAGGGTGTTGACCACACTTCAATATGAAGTAGCTAGATGCATTGGGACCATAGTTTATTGGGCTCCTTTGGTGAATGTGTTCATAAAGTATTTTCCTTTCCACCTTGTGCTTTTGATATTTCTTCTTATCCAAAACTTGTCATTGATCTATAGGATGTTGCTGTGAAAATTCTCATGGAACAAGAATTTCATGCGGAACGCTTCAAAGAATTCTTGCGAGAGGTATGCATTATTGAATGTGGATAATAGTCTACTATATTACAACTATTATTTAACTAGGTTAATGTGTCGCACCTGCCCTGTTGTGTTCAGGTTGCAATAATGAAGCGCCTAAGACATCCAAATATAGTTCTATTCATGGGTGCTGTTACTAAGCCACCAAACCTGTCCATTGTGACAGAATACTTATCAAGGTCTGATGATCATCCCTTTCTAATTATGGGCTTCCTTCTGTAGTTCTCTTACAATATGGCCGAGAATTTTTCTTGTTTGCCGAGTTCGACGAATTAGCTTCGGTTTGCCCTGCAGAGGTAGCCTGTACAGGTTGCTGCACAAGTCTGGTGCAAGGGAGGCCTTGGATGAAAGGCGTCGGTGGAATATGGCATATGATGTGGTATGAGTTTGCAATTCCAAACACATTTCTGCATTCAGTGCTCTCTGTATTTGTTTCCAATCCATGCATTTCTCTCGGTGGTATTTTGTTAGAAACAAGTTTCTAACGGGTCTCTAGATCAGATCTAGAGATTGAGAATTTAGGCTTTATAGAACAGGATTGGGGATTTAGGGATTTGAGAAGAGAATTTGGGGAAGAACAGAAGAGAATCGGCCTAAGCCTTTAGAGGGATTGAGGTCAAGAATTGAGAGGATTGGGATAGGAATTTAGGGAGATAATTCTTTATTAACTTCTGCTTAATATGACGAATGACCCAAAGTACATATATATAGGGAAATACTAGAAAACCCTAAGAATAAACCTAATTCTACTAAAAGACTACTAACCATAATAAGAATTACCCTAATAATGATTATAATAATAAATATAGAAACCCGATATAATTCGGTTTCTAACATATTACATTTTGTCATGACATGTTGTGCTTCTGTTCTCTATCTATAGGCAAAGGGAATGAATTACCTTCACAAGCGCAATCCTCCTATTGTTCACCGAGATTTGAAATCTCCAAATTTATTGGTCGATAAGAAGTATACTGTGAAGGTAATGTGAACATTATTCTAGTTCTGTTTCAATCCACGTCTTCCTGGATTTGTGTGGTCCAGATCTTGTTCTCCTACCGCAGCATTGGAGTAATAGCTGAATCTAGGTTTAATTTATAAAGCATTGTCCTCTATGCTCTATCTGTTCAGCTGAGCTTTGACATATTTAGTGTCCCGATTGGATACTTCCTAATTTCTTCTTATCCTCCCAGGTTTGCGATTTTGGCCTCTCTCGCTTGAAAGCAAATACATTTCTTTCATCAAAGTCGGCTGCAGGGACGGTGAGTGTAACTTAACTGGATCCATATCTAAGTTGTCAGAAGTCTATTTGACATTGCTTAGTTAATGTTTTTTTCTGTGTTTGCCAGCCTGAGTGGATGGCCCCTGAAGTCCTGCGTGACGAACCGTCAAACGAGAAGTCCGACGTGTACAGCTTTGGCGTAATTTTATGGGAGCTGGCAACAATGCAACAACCCTGGGGCAATTTAAATCCCGCACAGGTGCAGTGTTAATAAACATTTTTCTGGAGCATTCAATACCCTTGGATCTTCCTGTGTTCTTCGAGAGTACTTAAGTTTTTGTACCGTACAATCACATGCCGAACCTGCTAAATGATGATCATATCTTGCAGGTTGTGGCAGCAGTTGGTTTCAAATGCAAAAGGCTTGAGATCCCCCGCGATGTAAATCCTCAAGTAGCAAACCTCATTGAGGCTTGCTGGGCCAAGTGAGTATTTGCTTGCTCCTCTCTTCTGAATATATTACCTCTTCGTTTACAAAGTTGCTCTATGTATTACTGGTAGGGGGTGAGAAAATGGTTGTTTCGTTATATACCAGAACCAAACTTTTTAGGGTTAACCTTGAGAATAGAAAATCAATTCAAGCATCTGTATTGTTTCGCATATCCATGTAGTTTGGTTCCAGTTAATCCATCAGTTTGTCGTTAACGGAATTGGTCTTCCACGCAGTGAGCCATGGAAACGTCCTTCCTTCGCCAACATCATGGAATCGTTAAGGCCATTGATCAAACCTCCGACGACTCCTCAAGCTGGTCGTCCAGACATGGCCTTACTTCCCTGAGGCGGCAGCAGCAGTCAGATATTTATGCACATAATACAGAGCATTCTTTTCCCGAAATTTTGATAACCGCACAGAGGCAAGCACCTGGTAGATAGTGCTTTCTCAGGTAGACTTCCAAGTTTCATTGAGTTTTGCTATCCGAGTCCCGATTTTAGATTCTCATGAAATGTACTCTTATCGAGCTGCAGGGACTATTGTTGTATATGTCTTGTGTCGTCCAGAGTTCCCAGTTTCAACTGATTGCGCTGCTTTGCTTTCGCCCCATGCTTCTGCGACGGAGATTTTGCTCGAAAGAAATGTGTCCTTTCCAATCGATGATGTTGGTAAAAAAAGGTCGTCGTGTAAAGTCGTCCACCTCTCATAATTTTGTACCTAGAACGATGAAAATGGGAACCCAAACCATAACACTTCAAAATGTTAGTCTTAATGAGAAGCAGCTTCTTCGTCATTGAAGCAATGTCTTGAACTGGACTTTATAATCCTTCCCACTCTCAGGACTTTCTGTAATCGTCGTATTAACCAATTCTGCATCCAGACTTGAAGTCGTACCAAGTGATGCCGGTTCGTAGTAGTTTATCGTTCTTGTGATCTTATCCGACCCGGAATATAAGAACAGAGAAACTCAGAATCGACGTTTATGTCAATCTTGTTTACTGAGGCATTTCTTAGGATTATACGGTCCACCTTAATCAGTCAATCTTACGATTAGTGTACAAATCGCAATTGAATTACTGCCCCTTTTTAATTGAATGTGATCATGACTGTCCTTTTCAATGAGGACGTTGACCACTGGTTAGAAAACCGCCGGACAGCTTCACCTCCCCCGAAATCTGATTGGCCGGCGGCTTAGCTTCGCCACCAAGTATTGCGACCACCTAAATCCGATTGGACGCCGACACTTTTTACCGGCGAAATCTAGGCCAAACGAATTGGAAAAAAATGAAATATATTTATGCACATAAGGGTTCCACGCCACTGATATAAGCTACTGACAAACATAGATCGTCATTCCCAATTGGGTCCTTGTTCTTTTAGATAGAGTTTTCGTGAGAAAGTAAACTTGCAACATTGCCTTTTATAAAAGCAAATATATCGTATCCTACTTGTGTTTTTAAAGCTCATTCAGAACTTAGAAACTTTGAGATATTCCTTATTCCATTCGAGTATTCATTTTACCTTGTGATAGAGAGAGAAATAGGAGTAAAACATAATCACTACTTACATATTGATGTGAGACTGTGAATGAAGAAACTGAATTGCACAAATGTAGATGACAATTAACACCATAGAAAGCGAGTCAGTACCGATACAGAAATCTAGAGATTTTATGTTGGTAGTATATCAATTTGTAAAGACCAAATTGCATGATCATAAGAAGTTATGGAGCTTTCAGTAATTAATTAACTATCATCCACCCACTCAAATACCCTCAAAACTTCTAGAAGTTTCGGTTTAACCCCACCCCCTACCCCAACCAAAATATCTTCCACCCGGGCGCATACTCGACCACCCGCCAAATCGAAGTGGAAAAAAATATCTGGGCCAGCCAAAACCGCGGGAACCCCAACTGCCAGAAATTACCAGGAAAAACCGCTCATCTGACCGTCACGTGCTCCGGCATCGCCACCGCCTTACTGCTCAAGATTTTTTTTCTTCCTCCCATCAAACAGTTTGTCGGCGATCCCTTATAAATCCACTTCGCCGTTCACTCCGACTAATTTCCTCCCCTTTCCTTATCACATTACTCCCCCTCTCTCCCTCACATTTCTTCAATTTATTTTTTGTGTGTCCATTTGTGGATCCAAAATGAAGCCTGAAGACGTACCCAATTCGCCACACGGCGGTTCGATTGCGGAGGCAATCCCAATTCCGGCTTCTCCCCTGATGGAGTTCTTCGAGGAATTCCCACAATCGTTCGAATTCAAGGCGGAGCCAGTCTCCGATGTGTCATCGCCGCCGGTGGCGGCGGTGGTGGTTGGGGTTTCTCCTCCATCTCTTCCAAAGCCGCTGGCGATTCTGCACGAGACACCCATCCCGCCGTTTCTGTCGAAGACGTTCGACCTGGTGGACGACCGAGGTCTGGACGCCGTGATCTCGTGGGGAGCTGATGGGGTGAGCTTTGTGGTTTGGGATCCGGTCGAGTTCTCCAGAACCGTGCTCCCTCGCAACTTCAAGCACAACAATTTCTCCAGCTTCGTTCGCCAGCTCAATACTTATGTGGGTATCTTGCTGTTACCACAGCAGCTCTTAGCTTTGCATTGATTTATCAATTTTTTTGTCTGGGTTCGATTGGTATCTAACTTTTTCTGATGTTGTTTTGGTTGAAGATTGTAACTTTCATCTATGTAATTGGAGGGTTCTTTGTAAATTTGAGCAGTTTTGTTGACATGTAAAAGGGTTTTGATTCTCTGATGTAATAGTATAGTGGGTAGAAGAAGTAGTATAGTAATGGCTTTTGCAAATTCAGATGAGATGATAAGTTATAGGTGAAGTTTTGATCATCCTAGCGCCAACCTCTGAATTTGTACTGGAGCGGGGAGCTATCTACCTAATCCGAATCCAGGTAGGATTTCAGGTTCCAGTACACCATAAATAATGATGTTTACAGCTTTTTGCCATATGTTTGGTGTTCTTTTCTGTGTGTGTTGCTGTTAAGGAAGAACTTTTCAGATTTGCAGACTGAAGAACCCTAATGTTTCCAAGGCAGCTTAAACTGTTTGTTTGGTTTGGTGCTTGTGTTTCTGAGAGCAATTCCACTAGCCTTATGTAATGTCTGCTTCCCCACACTTACTCTTTTGAGTTCTGTTTTCTGCCTTTTACTCTGTCCAGGGATTCCGCAAGATCGATGCTGACAAGTGGGAGTTTGCAAACGAAGGCTTTCAACAAGGTCAAAAGCATCTTCTTCGAAACATCCAGCGGCGGAAGACACCATCATCATCTCAGCAAACCAGTGGCTATGTTGTTGGGTCATCTGGGGAAGCAGCAGGGAAGTCCAGGCTGGAGAATGAGGTGGAGAGGCTGAGGAAGGAGAGAGGAGCAATGATGCAGGAAGTTGTAGAACTTCAGCAGCAGCAAAGAGGATCCATTGAGCATATGGAGACTGTCAACAAGAGGATTCATGTAGCTGAGCAGAGACAGAAGCAGATGCTTTCCTTCCTGGCAAAGCTGTTCCAAAATCCAGGATTCCTCGACAGACTGAAGGAAAGCAAGGAGGGCTGTCAACGAGGCAGCATAGGAGGAGGATCAAAGAGGAAGAAGTTCCTCAGACAAAGTCAAGGTGAAGTGAGCGGAAGTTCTACATCTATTCAAGGGAAGATGATAAAGCACGAGTCTGATTCTTTTCCTATGGAGGAGGAGCTATCACCTGATTATGTCTTGCAAAACATGGCAGAAGGTGGGGCAGACAGAGAAGGTTCACCATTTGTGCTCGACTCTTTTGTATCAACAAATGACTTGGCTGTTGCAGGGCAAGAATTCATAACCCCCACGGAGGAGATTGAGGAGCCATTCTATAAAGGGAAGAATGTGGTGATGGATCCACAGCCAGAACTCGGTCCTGAAGATTTCATCTCCTACCCTGACGATTTAGGAATGCAGCAGGAGGACTTCACACTTCCTGCAGTCTCAAGTCCAGGTTTCGAAAGCATAGTCAAGCAAGAGGTTGATGTATGGAGCATGGGATTCGACACTCATCCGGCCATGGCTACCAGTCCAGGGAACGAGCTATGGGAGTTCGGAGTTACAGGTGGGTTCTCTGACGTCTGGGATTTAGGTTCTACACAAGCAGCAGATAGAAGTTCAGGGTTCGACAAGCAGCTGCTGGTTGATGAGAGCTTACTACCTGATATTAGTGCTGCCCAGCCGCAGGATGTTGGCAGTTTCAAAAGAAGTTAGATACTGGCGGGATTACTTATTGATGCCAATATTACGATTATATAGTACATAAGACTGGACATCTTTACCGATTATATGCTTCTTTCATTGAATGCATACCACTATTTTTTTCAATCTTGAGATTTCTTCTCTCTTTTGAGCTTTTTTGCTGAACTTTCATTATTATCCATGTTTTAGCTCTCCATTATGCAACAGGTGAGCTGGAAGTTGGTGAACACTTGCTAGGTCTCTTGGATTCTTGCTAATGGATGCCTTTCGAGTTTTTGAGCATTTGCAGGTGAAATCAGCTAAGACCGGGATTGTGGCGCGTTGTGTTTGGCAGAGTTTTCAGGTTATGGTTCCGACTTCCGACAGCGGTTATTAAGTCTGGCAATATCTCTCAAGTTGGACATTCTGGGAATAGAATACTGTGATAGCGATAGTAAATTTGTTCAATAGGTTTGCTTGTATTGGTCAACTGTTCTTGGTGGCCTCTTATCTGTTCGTACATAGCCAAGTCTAATTTCACTATGGTGTTTCCTAGAATAGTTCAGCACTTTTTCTTGAAGAAGTTCCCTCTTTTGTGAACAAAGTTCTGTATTTTGCTTGTTCCCTCTTTCCTTGAAGCATGATCTTTAACGAATTAATGATTCTTCTGCTCCTGATCCTTTGCATAATTGATCTTGCTTCAAAATCTGGCAAGAGATCCATCACAAACTTGATGAAGGATGTGATCTAAGTAGAAGCAAACTAAACATACTATGCTTTGATAATGATCAGAGAAAGTTAAAAGTAAATGGCATTGATAATTAGCTCGATTAGAACACTCATTAAACTTGTCATTGTGGAGCAAATTACATATGCAGATTGATAACAACGACTACAGCTACCAAAAACTTGATCAATCGAGTTTACTATAATATCCGAGAACATAAATGATGTCTTGGTGACACCCCAGTTTTCTTCCCTCTGACGACCTGTCTTGCATCCACGAGCTTGACAATGCAGACCCTCAAAAGAGTATAATCAGATCGCCAAGGGATGGCTCAGGAGTAACCCAGATGGCCAAATACAATCAGTCAGCGCCATCTTCCTTCCGCTTCTTTGCTGCATGCTCACTGTGCTTCAACTTGGCTTCTCGGCGTTCTCTCTTTACTCCTTTGGCTTTGTTAGGTAGTGCCATTTCTCCAATCTAAAACCAACAGACAATAAAAAAAGTCAAGAGAGTTGTCCCAATGACCGTAAGAGTTTTGTGTTAAGGATTTGACTATAAGTCACTACCCTATCTAGACTTCCACTACTAATTACCTTCTGATCAGGCATATAAATCTTCCCGATCTTGCCCTGTATAGAATCTCCAACAACATTCTTAATCTGCAAGCAGCAGACGAAAGAAACAAGATCAGCATTAGCCAATACACCAAATTCCCATTCGGAGAAAGAGAGAACTTTTAGTCTAAGAAAGCAAACCTTCTTCTTAAGGCCATCTGTAGAAATTCTCATTGCTTCTTTCCTTAAACTCTCGTTAGGAAGGCGATGACGGCGAACCACAAGATCCATAGAAGGGCCAACTTCAACTAGTTCGATCCTCGGGACTACGGACCCAGACTTTTTTAGCCTCACGGCGCAATGAGTAAGGAAGACTCGGTCCGAGGATACAGCTGTGACTACATAAACACGGTCTAGCCCAACTAGGCTCAAACTTTCAACAACCTGTTCAATCACACAGATGATTCAGTTATTAGTCGGTACGTAGGGGTGTGTATAGTGTCCGGTCCGGTGTGAACCGAATCCCTGCAGACTGCTACCACAGTATGTATAACTTCAAAAGTAAGGGAAATGTAGTCGAGACTATTGGGGGACCCACCTCTCCCCGGAAGAGATCAAGCAGAACCTCTTTCAAATGTTTCAATTCATCAATGCTCTCGAATCCTTCTCCAGCGAAAGTGATGAATGGTTTAGACCCGACCATCGGAGCTAGCTTCTTGTCATATTTGAATGACTCCATTGGTTTGAAGTTTTCAACACCGACTTCTACAAGGTCGTATATTTGGTGATCATAAGTACGTCCAATGACAATATTGTCAGGCCGCTTCTTTGACGTATTGCCATACTGCAAAACAACCGTTCATTAGATAGAGATATCGAAAGGCTAGCATAATTGAAATATTGGAAAGTGGAAGTGGAAGAACCAATCAACAAAAGAAACCATTAGGTCAGCTTATTACAAGTGATCATAATCCTACAAACAGAACGCTACATCTCTATCTCTATCATCAAGGATGTCGTCAATTGCATATATAGAAACACATGACCCAACATACATCATATCTTAAGACTTAAGAGTACATCCTTGAACTTAATCAGAAGCCATTCACATTAGCCATATGTACGCATTATAAGCTCCCTAATCAAACAAATGCATCACTCTCCTCAACATTAAGCTGATACAGAAAACAAAATCGCAACTAAGTAGTCCTACCATTCACAAACCACCAAAAACGAAGCCCACCTACAAGCAGAAAGCTATCTGCCTCGTTCACGGATCGGTTAAAATGCATACTCCAGAACCATATTCGCCCTATAAAAGCTCATTCATATATATAGACTAAAAGGCACTTCCTTTAGCATTGACAGCCGCAAATCCAATCAGCCATACAAAACGAACGCACTAGCACTCTAATTCAAACAACTCAAACGCCTTCCCTTCGGCAATAAACTGCAAACCCGAGATGAACACTAGACCTACTACCTATCAAGAAGATCGAAGCAGCAACTCACCACAAATATGCTGCAATCAGTCTTCTGAGAGAAGAACTCGAGGGAAGTCTCGCCCCCGCTCTCGAACGGCCTGATGTTATCATTCTTCCGCGTATACCTCACAGAGCTATCCCTCTTCAGGTGATATATCTCCTTCAGAACCGAATTCAACACGTTGCTAGTCTTCAAGCCTTGAAGTATCAGCGTCTTCTTCCCCGTCTCAACCTTTATAAATAGCAAAACGAAACAAGTTCAGTAATCTGCAGAAACTTCACATAAATCGAACATTCAGGATACTAAGAAAAAGATGAAAACAAATTTCCAAAAGTTACCAGCTTTGGCGCTCGCTTCTCCAGTTCCCGAAGGACCCTTTTCTTCTTCGGAGTATTTATCTTCATCATGATTACGAATTTACGAGACAAGAGAAGAACGAACTTGCAGAAATTTGTTAGCTCCTTTCGCGGGAACCTCAGTTGCAGGGCAAGGATTGTAGACGGAGAAGAGGAAGAGGAGGGGAAGAGAGAGGTACTAGGGTTTTTATTAGAAATTGTGGGGTTTAAGGCCCAAAAAATCATGGGCCTGTGAAAAAGCCCAACTACGGCTCATGGGCCTGTAATATGGGGCAAAAGGATTCCTAAAATCTTGAAGTTCTCAGAAAAACCCCAGAGAAGAAACTGCGAAAGAGAGGAAGAAGAAGAAAGTGGAGATGGTTCTATGGCGCATCCTCAGAACTCCGGCAACGAGATCGCAAGCTGGGGCTTTTCTCCCATGGGATCACCGTTGCTCCTTGTATACTTTGAGATGTTACTCTGTGAAAGCCGGAGCGAAATCGAGCCAGAAGCCTCAGAAGAAATCCGGCGCGAAGAAGCCCGGCGATGAATCTGGCCCCGGTGGCGCCGCCGCCGAGCTAGACCGAGTTGTAATTGATGAAAGAGCTTTGAGGTCTCGTCTCCTGGCAGAGGACGAGAAGAAACCGTCTCGTGATTTGGGTCCTAACGGTCGCCCACTCTTCACTTCCACTCCCACTCTGTCTCAGCTCACTCGCAAAGACGCCTGCTCCTACTTCAAATTCAGGTACTTATCTGTCCCCTGACTTCAAATGGTTGGTGGGGGAATTATGGTAAGAGTGTCTTTGGCTGAAGTTTCTGAACTAAGGATTCTTCATTTCTTGTCTCAAGTAAGGAGGCACTGAATGCGGTGTTGCCTGAAGGGTTACCGAAGGGGATGGTGACGGAGTTTGAGGAGTCAATGCGAGAGTCTTTGATTGTTCGACAGAGTTTCTTGGACCTTCGTGATAACTTCAGGCGTATTGTTGATCCTCCTTTGGATGGTAAAGGTGCGAGTTTCTTTTGCTAACTGTTCTTCAGCTGTGCATTTCATTGCTCTATTTACCTGTTTTAGCAAGATACACTTAAATCGAAACTCGATGAATGATGAACTATCTTATGTAAAATGATGACCTTAGAGAACTGGTGATTTGGACGGAGTGTTGTTTTCCAGGTGTTAAAGCTAGAAAACAAATTGTATTAGATGGCCCTTTAAGCTGTGGCAAGAGTATTGCATTGGCAATGCTTGTCCATTGGGCTCGTGACGAAGGTTGGCTAGTGTTTTATGCCCCTAGAGGATGGGAATGGACTCATGGTGGGTATTTCTACAAGAACCCACACACTGGACTTTGGGACACTCCGCTTCAGGCAGAAAACATTCTGAAGGTAAGAGTGTAAAACCAGTAGCTCCATGTTAGGGATCTCCCTAAGATCTTGCGCTTTTACGAGTTGGTTTTAGTCTTGTGATATCTGCTCTGGAACCGTTTTTTAGTTGCATGATGCCTTAGGAGTTAGGGACTTATGAAATTGTGGTTTTGTGTAGGACTTTTTGAAATACAACGAATCACAGCTGAAGCAGCTACATTGTCACTTGTTTGATCCTATTCCACTCGGAGAAGGTGCAGGTGTTGGATTAATGAAAGGAATTGACTCCATGCCAGTTCCTGAAGGTTCAAGTCTTTTTGACCTGGCTCAAATAGGAATCCAGCATTCTCATGCTGCAGTTGGAGTAGTTGTTCGTTTGAGAAAAGAGCTATCATTAGTGAAAGATGTTCCTGTGCTCTTTGCAATTGATCAAGTAGGGATTGTATTCTTGTGCTTGCTTTCAGAATCTTGTTACACCTGAGTACAGAATGGGCTCACATGCTTGTTGCTCTTGCTTTTCTTCCAGTACAATAGTTGGTTTACCTTCAGTGAGTATGAAGAGCCAATGACTTTGCACTCAACCAGACCAGTGCATGCCAAAGAGGTTGCAACGGTCAGTATTTACTCCATACTTGCTCTTTAAGTTCGAGTAGCGGGACACCAAGATATGATAGGCCTCCCTTTTTGGAATTTTTGTTGCGAAATTTTTATACTTCTCTGTACACTGCTTGAGATTTTATTGTGTTCGTGCAGGTAAATGCTTTTAGGTCGATGATGCATAATGATATGATGGTGGGAGCTTTTTCTCATTCAATGGCAGTAGGAAAGCTACGTCAAGACTTGCCAGATGTTCCTGTGGATGCTCGCATTAACCTGCCCCGCTATAATTTAGATGAAGCAGCTACCGTGTGCCATTACTACCTTAGGTAAGCAGCTGGTGAATTGTCTCGCATGTCCAGCCATTATGATTCCTTCCCTATGTATATCTCAAGTTCTAATTTCCCTCTTGATGTTCATGGCAGGCAAAGATTGATAAATCGAGAAGCCTTCTCTGACGATAAGTGGAAGAAAGTGTATTATGTATGCAATGGAAATGGAACAGAAATGAGATCCTTACTTCCTCTGATGCAGTGAGCGAGCCAATCTCTACGGAACTAGCTTTTATTACTCTCCAGTCTTGCTGCCACTGATTCTGAGCTCACCTATATTGAAGCCCTTTTGAGTATCTTTTACCAGAACCCTCACCTCTCGGAAAGACGAGAAACTAGATTTGTGTTTATTTCCATCACCTGGCTCTACAACTGAAGTCTTCTGTACCAGACTGGAGGTGGTTGGTGATGGAAGAGTTCTGTTGCTGTAATACGTGTAGTCTGTCGAATCTGAATTTCGATTCCTGGACAACGATAAGTGTTTCCTTCTTCAAGTTGTACTGGATCCATGATGGAGAGAGAAGGTTAAGCAGGAGATTGTTTTAAGTTTTTTGACATGGCAGACTTATAAGTCCGTCCGAGTCCAATCTGGAGACATGATTAGTATTTGGTAATGTTTTGTTGTTCTGATCAATAAGCCATGATGGTAATGCTCGACCTGTGTTTAGAAAGGCGGAGGACGATGAAAATTTTGTACGATCTTTTCGGATACAGTTATTGATCTATACTTCGACACTCAAGTTCTTAATCGTACGAGAAATGATATATGAAAAATACATAGAAAATGGAGATTATCGGGTTTATCAGGTATCAGGAACAAACACCACAAACTTTGAAGTACTAATTCGTAAATTAGTCCCACAGATTTTTTTGTTTTTTCTTTGGTGGCCCCTGAAAATTTAATAATTGTTTTTTCCCCATCGGGCCAATCACCAGCAAGTTGCTCTTCGGCTCTTCCTTTTTTATTCCGTCCTTCGTCTTCTCTCGATTCAATTTAACGCTCAGCTCGTCTCCCTCTAGAGCGAGCTTCCATCACTCTCTTCCCTCCTCTCTCGTTTGCCTGTAATAAATTCGATTCAGTCTCTGTAACGGAATTCCGGAGTTGTTCAGAGAAATCCATCTCTTCATAAGCTTTCTTTTCAGTTTTCTCCCGTTGTATGTACCGCAAGCAGCTCTGTAAATTTATGCTCTAGGGCTTGTTTTCTTCCTTTTCGGATTCGCGACGAGCTTTCTTTTCGTCTCCTTTTCATTGTACGCCGTGTTGGTTTTGATTAGCTTCGATGGCGATTAGGGATTGCGATGTAACGATAAATAAAGAGTGGGAATGAGGAAAAACTGTTAGGGTTTTGATTTTTTCTTTTCTTTTTGGCGGGGTTAATTTTTTTATATGTGAATGGAAATGGAGAGTATGCGTAGATCACTCGACAGATCAAGAGAACCGGGACTGAAGAAGCCCCGATTAGCTGAGGACCAATCGAATTCTAACGGTGGCCGGCCTTTCGTTCAGCGGCAGCCGCCGGCGGCTACACTCCCGCCAACGAGGTACAGGGCTGCCGGCGGTGGCGATAGGGACTCGGAGGGGAATGACAGGGGAGACGGTGCCTACCACCCTCAGCCTGTGCAGCAGTACTCGGAGCTGGTCAACCAGTACAAGACTGCTCTAGCGGAGCTGACTTTCAATTCCAAGCCGATTATTACTAACTTGACTATAATTGCTGGGGAGAATGTGCTCTCCGCGAAGGGCATTGCTGCAACTGTCTGCAATAACATTATTGAGGTGAACCCAGTTTTTGTTTTATACTTGGCTGTTGGCACCAATTTGAACTGTTGTTGTTTAGTTTGGAAGGGAAGTGGTAGAGATATGATGTTCCATTCTTCATGGGCGGTGTAACTCCTGATTAATGAGAAATGATTTTGAGATAAAAACACCATTCCCGTGGATCCATTTAATTTGTTGTAGATGTGTTGAAGCTGACTTGGTCCTTCATCTGATTGCTTCTTAGCTTAAGCAGCCAAATTTAAGGTTGGTTGTGTTCATGATAAAACAAAGCACCATACTCGATCTATCTGATACTATCAGTTTATGCTTCTCCTCCTTGATTGTTTTTCGCTGTGCACTTTGTTGGGGTGGATATGAAATGTTTCCTATGTGCTTTATGTGTACACTGCCGTGTTCATTTCTACTATGCAACGTGTGATGATTCTGAAACAGAGAATGTTATATTATTAGAAGAACCAAGCTCATAGATGAGCCTTCAATCTGCCTTTTGAGCTTACCCTTGCTTGGATGTCTTATCTTAGTGAAGATTTCTTGTTTCTTTTTGGTAGAAAATTTTATTTTTCTTCGAGATAGCTCTGCCAGGGCGACCTTTGAATATGAAGGCACTTGATTGATGCTGATAACTTTTGGATCAAGTAAGGAGCGTGGAACAAGAACATGGCAGAAGGAGAAGTGACTTTGATAATTGTACTATATTTGATTAGAATCTGAGTGGTTTCATTTCAATCATCTCTTGTTTGTAGTATATCTTCTTGGTGGTTCAGTTGACAGTTAGTTATGTTCTTTTTGTTTTGAAATATGGTATGAAGGTGTCATGGCAGAAGGAATCAGTTACTGTGTTTACCCTTGTATCTTTTTAGATTGTAGCCTTGCTGTGTCATTGGTTTTCTCTTACTTCAGCTTCATGTCCTTCACTCATACTACGGAGGTGACATGTCATATCTGATCCCATGACTAAATGCAGGTTCCAAGTGACCAGAAGCTGCCATCACTTTATCTTTTAGACAGCATTGTCAAAAATATTGGGAGAGACTACATAAAGTATTTTGCAGCGAGACTACCAGAGGTTAGATTTTTCCTAAATGAATCCAATATTGTATAATGGTCCTTCTGCTAACTAGTTTATAAGTTGAGGAGTAATATTTATTCACATGCTTCACGATGGTCCTTCTGGTTACCATTATAATGGGACATGCTATGCTTTTGGTGTCCTTGATCTTTAGTCTGTGACATATGTTGCTTTGCGATTCAGGTGTTCTGCAAGGCATATAGGCAGGTTGAGCCTCCTATTCAGTCCAGCATGCGGCATCTTTTTGGAACTTGGAAAGGAGTCTTCCCTCTCCAAACGCTGAAGATGATTGAGAAGGACCTTGGATTTTCTTCTGCAGTGAACGGATCTTCTTCCACTGTGACATCTAGGGCAGATACACTATCACTACGGCCACAGCATAGCATTCATGTTAATCCAAAATACTTGGAAAGGCAGCGCCTTCAGCAGTCAGGCAGGGTAAGTGGACTTTTGTGTCTCGTTTTGCTTCTCATTGTATTGCCATCACTGCAAACATGTTTCATTCTTGATATTTCTTTTGTTTTACATTTCTTCAAGGAGATGCTTTGCATGATGTTAAAGCTCAAAATATATGACTAATTTTTCTTCTGCTTTCTGATGAAGGCACCAATTGCAGATTCACCAGAGGATATTGAAAGTCCAGAGAGAACTTCGGGTATCGTAGGTTCACGACCATGGACAGATTCTGCCGTTAAAATCCATGTAGGAAACTCAGATATCCTTGCTTTTGTTTTTCAAAGCTGATTGCATACTGATCCATTCAATTCAATTGTAAGTTTAACATCTTTGGTTTACCAGAACCTACAGCGAAGCCAGATAACATCACTAAGTGGTTCCATTGAAGAAAAGAACGTAGGTCTATTATATGGAGACTTGGAATATGGTACAGATGCTCCAAGGAACTCAATCTTGGGATCTGGGCGCTTAGGTGCAAGGGCTGTTGAACAAGCACAACCCAAACCTTGGTATGGAGTGGCAAGTGGTGTTTCTGAGAAGTTATCTGATCCAAGAAACGGTTTCCGAATGAAGCAAGCAGTGCCAGAGCATTTGATCCCCAAATCAACTAAAGCTGCGCATATACAGCCAACTGACAGCATTTCCCGTAAAAGGGGAAACAGTGTTTCTACAAACTGGAAAAACTCCGAGGAAGAGGAGTTCATGTGGGATTTGCACTCCAGATTGCCTGATCAGGATGTAACAACCATCTCTGATATCTCAAGGAAGGATACCTGGACTCCCAATGACCCTGAGAAATTGGTGAATGTTGATGATTTACATTACTCTTCCAGCTCTCTGCTTTTTACTTTGTCTCCTTTTTCTTAATTTTCAAATTTGATGACAGGGTTTTGAAAATCGTGTGAGAAGGCCTCAAATTGGGCATGATGTTGGGTCTCGGTTTGACAGAGAGTCGTCCACAGATTCATTATCTACTGAACAGAGAGAACTTGGGAGCCGTTTGTCCTCGTCATGGAGATTGCAAGAAGCAACCTCAATGGACGAACTTATGTTTTCCAGTTCCAACACTAATCCCAGTTACGCAGATGGCAATATAGCTGCCCATGGTGGGTTGCCTTCCAGGACAAATTCTGCATCCAGGATTGTAGCAGGACCTCGTGCTGGCTCCCCTCATGCTGGAGCCTCGGGATTAGGGGTTATCCCTACTACTGGAGCCGTAGGCCAACAGAGACTTACTTCCATTGGGACTTCGTCACCATCTCAGCAATCACTACATCAAGCCGCACCAAGTTCCTCATTTGCATCTCGCTATCCTCCTAGTAGGCAATTGCCAAATGCAGCTGACCATGACTACTCCCAGATCTTACCTCCTTCCCACCAGAAGGTGCATCAATTTTCAAAAAATTTGCTCCCCCAAAGTGTTCAGTTGGGGAATATAAACAGGTTACGGTCTGAAGAATTGTCTGAAGCTTCTGCTTCGCTTCAGAAGCAAAACCCACCTCTTGAATGGAAGGCTGGGGCTCCAACGACATCAGGAAGCTCAGAATCAGACCAATCCATTCAACGTACTACGGAAACTTCAGGCCAACAGAGCACAAGTAGTTTATTAGCAGCTGTTATGAAGAGTGGAATTCTGGGAAATATAACTGCTGCTGGCTTGGCTAAGAAGAGCTTGCAAAGTAGTGGGCAAGTCGTATCAAAGTCAGTTACTAAACCTCCCCTTCCGAATGAGCCCCTTCCTACCCAAGTTGCTTCTGTGCCGATGGCTACTTCTGCGTCTTCCAAGTCATCTACCTCAAGTTTCCCTCATAAGAAGGATAAGCAGCAACAGGTTGCACAAGTCGCTCCTATAATACAGACCTCAAAGGTGGGAGATAAGGCGTCGAATCCAATTTCAAACCTTTTGAGCTCTTTACTTGTGAAAGGTCTTATAAAGTCAGAAGCTTCTCCTCCGTCATCATCATCATCTCAGATGACCACCGTTGAGCCAGAGATTCAGAAGAAAAGTACCATAGCACCTAAAGCCGCCCCAGTTTCTTCTCTGTCAGAGTCTACTCCCATGGCGCGTGAAGAATCTCTTAAGAAAACTGATGCAAAAAGCCATGCCGATTTGCTTGTTAAGTCTACCCCTGTGATGCCGAAGGCAAAAGATTCCGTCAGTTTGCCTCAGTCTATACCAGTGGAAACTGAGAGTCTCATTGGATTGAAGTTTAAATCGGATGTAATCCGAGAATTTCATGCAGCTGTCATTGATTCCCTTTTCAATGACCTTCCTCACCAATGTGATGCATGTGGTCTCCGTCTTAAACAGAAAGAGGGGCTTGACAAACATTTAGAGTGGCACAGTGAAAGGAAGATTGTTTCTGATGATAAGAGATGGTATGCTCAAATAGAGGATTGGGTTTCTCCAAACGCTGTTGTTCCTTCTGCAGCTGTAGATTCATCTCCCATGGATGGCCCTGAGTGTGAAATGGTGGATAGAGATGATGAACCAATGGCTCCTGCAGATGAAGAGCAGTGTGTATGCATCTTTTGTGGCGAGCTGTTTGAAGACTATTATAGTACTGCATTGAATCGGTGGATGTTTAGAGGAGCTGTGCACATGACACAAGTTCCTCCAGGTAAGGGTGAACAAAGAAATGGTCCCCTAGTTCATGTGCACTGTCGCTCAGAAGGTTCATCCAGCGAGTTGGGTCTTGTGAATAGCGTGAAAATGGTAAGTCAAATATGTGTACTTTTATCGAAATCTCTTTTCTTCTGGCTGTGAAGAAACATTGGCAGTGAAATTCCTGTTCTTGGTAGTTACATTTCCATGGAATTAGGTGGTTATTAGAGTGTCATGAGCTGTTATTAATTTGTTCATTGTGTCGTTAATGGTGGTTTGTGTAGGTTCAATTTGTCTTTGATACTGCATCTTGTATTGGTCTTTTTGTCTGCCTTAGGAATAGATCTCTAGCATGGGAAGATTAATGAAGTCTCTTCTTTGTTTTACCAGGAAATCGATTCATAAATGCAAGGTGGAGAAGGGGCGTGTTTTCAACTACCAATCCACCACTAGCAGCTTTGCTTGGAGAAATCAGAAATGCAGGTGTATCATCACATGCGATAAGTTTTGCTAAAAAATATTCGTGCATGCCTCAGCTAGTTTAGACTCTGCGCCAAAAATGGTGTCGACGAAAAAGCCTTCGTTTTTCTTCATCCTGCGTCTTTTCCCCCACCTTCTTCCCTTCCATTATAGAAATGATATTATAAAGCTATCAGGTAGCTTTTCGCCGCATCGCGTGTTCACTAATGTGTGTGTTTGTTCTGTTTCTTTCCTTTCCCTGTTTTTGCTATGATGTTTGGAAATGTTGCTGAAGCGAAGTGTGCGCTTGATGATACTATACCACCCTTGGGACGCCATTCGGGTAGAAGTTGAGTACTGCAGTACTGAAATATTGTCCCCCATCTGCTCGTTTACTTGTCGTCGTCTGTCGTACATGTCTGTGTTATGGATGAATCTCTGTTTCTGGTACTGGATTATCGACGAGAACTTCGAATGCTGATGCATCATAACGATTTTGTTCCGTACCACCTTCCTAAACAGAGCTCCTATTGTGATTGGAAAAAAATGTTTCTTTTCATACGTGCTTGGTTACTACATACAGGGACTGTGACTGTAGTAGTAAGCTTGGTTTTCCAGCTCTATAAATGTATATATTTTGATGTCAATGTTTTCGCTATCAGCATCATGAAAAGCTTCAGCTTCAGCTCTACTCCACGCTATTGCGGTGATCATTATGAGGTTATATCATAGTGTTTGCCATCCGAGGGAAAAGAGTTGCAGTTCAAGAAGAAATGACAGGAAACGAATCAGATCCCTACTTTAATATGGTGGATGGCCATCACCAAATTCATTATTATAAATTCCTTTTTTGCGTAAGGTACACAAACCTATGGATTCCTTGTCGGAATTCCTCTTCCCTAGTGCTCTACTGATTTAATATGGTGGGCAGTCACGGCTGGAATAGTCTCCAACGTATGCGTCTTAAATCTTAATCGATAACTAGAAGAAGATCCGTATTTTGCTTTCTTACTAATACGAATTTATATACCATATTTATAATACTAAGCTCACCGTATTCTGCAAACTGACTAATAATTATAAAACTATGAACATTGGTTTCGGGGTGCCAAGAAAAACAAAAGCTATAAAATCAACTAAATGTTTCTTCAATTTTCAAGGGTTCTTGTGGTGCTGAGTGTAGATGTAATCCAAGTGAGCCTCTGCGACCATCCTTCTCTTCAGGCAATCTTCATCGTTCTCTTCACAAACTCCTTCTGCGTTCTCCAGTTCCTCTGCTCCCATCAGCTGCCAATCAATCCATGGAAAACCCAAATCATTCTATCAGCAACTCGACTTACTGAGATCAACTTTGACACCCGTTGGATTCGTTCTACGCGTTTTCAGCCGTTGAATCGAAAACCAAAACCGATCCAACGGCTGAGAACACGCAACAGATCGATGATCCAACGGTGTCAGCATATTAGTCAAATTTTGGTACTCTGTTTTTAAACTCTAATCAATCGCTTACCGTGGAAAAGTCTTCTTCTTTGAGTGAACCTGCAGAAGCAAAGTGATCGGCGGCCGCAGTCTTCTGATCTTCCCTTCTCACCAACTCCGTCTGACCACCGGCATCACTGCTACCTACTGGTCATACCAAGTCGTTTCCTTGTCAAAACAGAGACTTTAAAAAGCATGGAGTTTTCTTGACTCCCCATGAAACCAAAATCAAAAAAGGAAAAAGTAAATTGAGGGAATCCAGTTATTACCTTTGGTCTGTGATGAGGTTTCTGCTTCCAGGAGGAGACGAGCAGATGCAGAAAAGGAACGAGACAGCAATAGGAAAGCAAGGAGAAGAAGAAGCAGAGGAGTAGAAGAATTTCTCTTCATTTTCGTTGTTTTTGTGAAGTGGAGGGAAGAGAGAGAGATAGTGGTGGGAGAGAAGAAGTGGCAGTGGCAGCTTTGCTTCGGTATTGTTGCATATAAATAGCTAAAAAGAAGGAAGAAGAAGATGATGAAGATAATTAAGGCGAGGAAGGAGTGAGGATTTCTGCTGACACGTCACAAAGGCAGTTACGAGTTATTTCACACATTCCCACGCCATGAGGTCAATTACAGTAATGGTCATTAAAGTTTGGGGCAGACATAGTGATTGCACAACTTTGACATTTAACAAGCTGGCGAGTTCGAGTTTGGAATAACTAATAGCGAAAGTCGTTTTATAATTTATGTCATGGAGGATTTGTTGTTTTCATTCAAATTGTTTATGATAAGAGTCTTAAGTACAAAAGGTCATGTAAACTTTTTTATAGTTAATTATATAATGTCGAGAAAGAATCAAAGATAAATACATGTAATAAACAGAGTCGGGGTGTAATCGATTAGGGGTGCAAATGAGTTGTTCGTGAGCATATATCTCATGTTTTTCTACAAGTGATTAGGATGGGTTTGTGCAATTCGCATGCTAATCTAACAAGTAAGATGAACAATATTACTATTATGTTACTTTTTCACATTTTGGTGCCAAATTTGGGGGGGGGGGGGGGGAATCCCAATATACACCAGTAATTGTTTGTTTAACTATCTCCTTATTACTCGATTGAGAGATGTTCATATCTTTTTTTTTTACATAAACATGTATTCCATTCATTAATCAGAATTTGCTGTTACATCATCCTGCTTAATCCGATCTACTAAATATATTGGCGGTCTATCCAACGAAATCACCCGCTCATCCCAATCTTGTTTGTGCATGGGCCATTATGCGAGCAGCTTCATTATGAGATATGTTCATATCTTAGGTAGTATTAAGAGGTTAAACTATTTTGATTTGTTTGTTGCACTTGTTTCAACCAACGTTTATTTACAATGAAACAATTCTATGAGAAAGTTACAAATTCGATATATGATGGAAGAATTGTTATTTTCTTATCAGTTTGTTTGACCGATATAGGTTATTCTCCATGATATCTCTCATTTGCTAACAAGGTGGCTAAAAGTCTCGATTTTGGATGAGTCATGCCATCATGGACTAACTATATATATCAGACTTTTCCTTTTTACTACTTGTCGATGGTAAGAACAATCAACTGGGACTAGAACATGGAACAGTAATTAGTAAAAAACCAAACATAAAGGACAAGTGAAGTATGAATGAACAACCAAATACAATATTGTTAGTCAATGTCAAGTGGTGAAAGATCAGCTTCAGAGTTATTGATTAAAGCTTGACAGGAAAGTGGCCCCGCCGTTTCCATACTTTAAGCAAATCTTTCTCATTCCTCCAGATAGTGACAATCCAAATCAATTAATGACTCCCGCCACCCCAAAAAACAAAGAAATTAGAGCCATTAATTCTCCCTTCTCTCGAGTTTCCTTTGACCCTAAGATTAGTTTTGCAATCAACTATCTTTTGTGACTATAGGGTAGGGACAAGTTAGGGTTGGTTTGGCAAGCATGCAATGTAGAATACTTTGTGTCGTCCTGTGTATTCTAGGTGGAATTGTAACGATTAAAGTGATTAGTGCGATTTGTAATATAGGAGTCTCACCCAACTGGATGAATTGTGTAATTGTATTTGTTACAAAACCATGACATCGCACCAATAAAATAAGCAGATAACAGTTTATGTAATGTGAGAAACGAAACAAGGGTTTTGGAGATTGAGAGCTTTGATAAATTGTTACGAAACTACGCTTTATGCTTTGTTAAGTTCGTTTTCATGTGAATTGATGTCAATTTCATATGGTATGGATCGAATTACGGTTACGATCAGTAATTATTCCATAAGGGTTTCATCCTCTCTAGGTATTTGATATGGGTCATGAAATGTGTATGTATCTAGCGAGTAAATAGTGAAAAGTGATAACCTTAATTATATGCTATTAATCGTCCTCCCTCCTCCGAACCTCAATCGTCTCAATCTCGAGATGCTCCAATAACTTCTTCTTTTTATTTCCCGACCGCTTCAGTCCCTGTTGTGAAATTCCAACTTCGGATGAATGATTTACATAGAAAACTTGAGCATACACATCATTTCGTTTTCGATGTAAGCCGACATGACATCCGGTTTCATATGAACCGAATCAAACCATTATCCAACCTATGAAATTTTAACAAAATATTGTGTTTGATTATATGGTGATGAACATGTAGATAAGCATGTGTAGAAATATACTCTCAACTTCTTTAGTAGTGGACTACTAGTGGTGGTGGTGAGTTAATGACGATGACAATTGACACCATAGATATGTATCGACCACATAGGCTTTTAGCTATTATGTGCGGTTTTCAATGAATATATATAGCAAAAGAGAGGTCAGCAAAGTCAACCAAGTCGACTGCCGTGGCCGACGACAGTCGACAGCTGTCTATCTCCGGCGCCCCAACCCCATTCTCCTCAACTTTCACGAGTTTCATCAATGACAGCATCCAATAAATAAATTAACCGCCCCAACTCCCAACAGTAGTAACATTAAAAACACACTTGCATAGTTGCATTCACTGATGCAGAGCGAGCAACCAGGGTTAAGTTGACTCAATCGGTTACTAGAGTTAGCGTGTTTTAATGATGAAATCGTGGTTCATAAGTTAAAAATACCGTTGAAAAATCGCCTGGAAATTTAGGTTCCGGCAGTAGGTTTTTCCGGCCGGTCCTGCCTCTGGTACTGCAAGGCTTCGGAAACACGAAAAATCACGCGAGTGCCATCGATGATCTCTCATAAGTACGTAATTCTTTGATTTTATGGTGTACGTACCTGAGCTGACGATAGCGTAGTGACGATACCATTCACTGCGTTTCTCCCTCTGGTCTCCTTTAAATCAATATACTATCATAAATGTACAGACGATATCGTCCACCTCTGTCGTTTCACCCTATTCCTTTCAAATTTACTTTATTATCATACCTGGCAAGAAGTCGTTTATAACAATAACTCGAATTACTGAATAGAAGTTTTCATTAGTAATTTTGTATCATTATGTATAAAAGAAGAGTTACCTAATAAGCATGCTGATTACTGGGTAACCTAACCACTTTTGTAAGTATCTAGTTATCGGCATGCGAAGAACATGCACCGATTCACAATATAATAAATCACTGTGGCTTTGATTCCAGTTTCCACAGTTGGCTGGTAGCCAGCCAGCTAGGGCTTTTTGGTTTGTGCATGCAAAATCAAACACAATTACGTAGGAAAAGATTCCCATTGTATACAAACCAACTGCTCCATTAATAATATCTCCCACCCTTTTAAGGTTTATTATATCAATTAACCATACCTCGTAGTTCCTGATCAACATCACTACATCAGTAATGACAATGGGGCGGGCGGGTACCTCAATAATCAATACCCGTTTTCTTAGTGGCGTAGTCAGATTTTGAATACATTGTGGTTTTTAAAAATTCAATAACGCTAAAATATGTGTATCTAATTAATTTTGAGTTGATTGGGATTCTTAGGTGAGCTAACATTGACACGAGTATGGGGTCCTAAACTTGAAAAATCATACTAAACTCATTGTATTTAAAGGTTTATTGTCAAGTGGGGTCCTAGGACCCCACTCCTCTCCACCTCCCCCGCCACTGCATGCCCCGTCCATGCTACAACGGTTCAGGGCGGTTAAAACCTGCGCGGGTATGGGGCGGGACGGGTCGATCCACTCTTACATGTTATTTGAAAACAACTATATGCAAATTTTACTTTTTACTATAAAATGAAGGGAAAAGCACTTTGTGAATGAAAAATAGTGATAATAAGATGGGTAATTAGGTCTAATAAGTTGAATGATCGACTGTAACTAGTTGAAAAAGGTCAAAATAGGAGAAATATATATAACTACCGTAAGAAATCGAGATAACATGAGCCAAGAACAAGGCGGTGCACGGCATGGCGGGTCGAAAGTAGATACCAATGCTCCGCCCCACACTACTGCGGGTCGGGTAATACCCGTTCAATCGCGGTTCAGGTTTAATACCCTCGGGGCGGGTTCAAATTGCCATCACTAATCAACATCTCTTCTATGGCAAGGAGTTGTAGAAGATTCATATATAATTCTTTTTCAACAACTCGAGTTATTGAGACTGGTTTGCTTATAAATGACATGGTATTAGAATTTGTTTATTAATGGATCTATGCAAATTACTTCAAGCCAAAAAATCATGGACTTTTCATCCAAAAGGGCATATGTCCCAACAAGTTGAGGTACCAAGAATATTTAGTCTATAACTACTCTTATGTGTTGGTAAGTGATATATGATTCATAATTGAGCATCACCCAACAACTCGATCAAGTTATTGGGAATAACTAGTTCTTGACAGGACATCAGAGCCTTCTGCGACAAAGAGGTCTTCTGTTCGAATTTCGACGACTCATTTGTTAAGCAGTTGGTATTCAGACATGTGCAAATTTCAGCCCATATATGATGGTTTTCATTCGAAGAGTGTGATAACAAGTGGTCTATGATTCATAATTGAACATTTTCAAACCATTCGAGATATCGAGTCATATGGAACAACTAGTTTTTCACCGTATGGACATGGTATATGACCATTGCATACTTCATATTCCTAGTTTCTAGATTCCTTTTTTTTTTTTCTTCTCTAATTTGTTTGTTGCTTTCACATAGTTTAAGTAGAGAGGACACATATGAATTGTGATGGTAGTGATTGTGTTTGTTTGTGTATGCAAATTCTTCATACTGAAAAGACACCTCCTGACGTCCCGTCACGTTCTTCATTTGATATGGAGAAAAGCTATGGTGAGAAAGAATCTAATTTTGTCGTAGCCCCAAACAAACGATCCCTTATCTTTTTTACTGGCAAGGGCAAAGACTTTCTCTTCAGTGGGAGCGGAATAATGCATCATTCACTAGCAAGGAAACAAAACGGAACCAAAAGAGACGGTGAAAGTAACGAGAAAGAGAAAGGAGAAATTACATTTGTTGGTGCAATGTACTTGTGCAAAATCTTTGTGCATGGTCTTACTTACGAGGTACGAATACTGGTTT